AAGTAATATGTGCTGTTACTAAATTGTTTATTTTGTTTAATTTATATTGGGAAAGACATTTTCTAGATTAAATCCACAAATTTTTTCTTCGACAATATATAAAACAAAATAAATCACAGTTTTCCACAAGGACAAAGCAAGATATGTGTTTTCTGTGTGTCAAGGGGGTGTATCTAAACCAGAATGTTGTTACTCTCAAATCCAACACATTAATAATTTACACAAGCTGAATTTCAAGAGACCTCTTTTGAATCTGTAAGACCTGCTGCATTTTCACGTTCCACTCGCCCTGTGTTCCCTCTGCAGGTCAGTATGGTGCTCCTCCTCAGGGCATGCCAAGCTACATGCCAGGAGGGATGCCTCCATATGGGCAGGGTCCTCCTATGGTGCCCCCTTACCAGGGAGGCCCTCCCATGGGCATGAGGCCGCCCGTCATGTCTCCAGCTGGACGCTACTGAAGCAGCAAAGCAGCCACCACATTAGGTTTGAGGTTAACACCTTTCTCTCATCCTTTTTCAAACCTAGCTGCGGGCAAAGAACAGTAAGACCAGTGGTGGTGAAGACAAACCTTATTTGTTAGAACACATGGACATTAAATGTAACATCTATATTGGAAAACAGAAAGACACCACACAGGTTCCTGACAGTTATTTTGTGCTTATTTGATTACATGTGTGGATTATCTATATTTTTCCCCATAGGTTTCACTCAGGTTTATAGAAGTGAAGTGTGGTAAAATGATTCATATTTCTTTTGAAGCTGCTGGAGTTACATGAACGTACCAACCCCTTACAAAGGCAAGTTTCTCTTGTAAACCTTTGATTATTGTATTGTTTATTTCTTTGGTAGAGTGATTGTGACCCTCACAGCACGTGTAGGTGCTGTTGGACTTGCGTCCCCAACCTTGGTTGGTGAGGGTCTCAATAATCAAGATGATTCCAACTGAGTAGGGTTAAAAATCCATGACTCATCAGTCTCTAGCTTTATTCTTCTTTCAGATTTGTTTTTAATATTTCCTGGTTGAAAGGGTACCTGTATGCATCCTTTGTAATGTTTTATGAATCTGTTGTAATAAAATCCATCTTGAAATCCAATGCTGGTTTTTCCTGACGTACGTGGAGGTGAGTCAGAAAGGTTTGTACTCATGATGTATTTATTTACTGATGTCTTATGGCTCTATCAGACTGCAGCATCTCAGCAGATGTTCCTATTAATTCTCATATCAAAACACAAAGTTCGCCATCATCTGTTTTTGTGGAGATCACTTTACATTATTTCAATAAAAGACTGGATGTTAAATTTAAAAGATTTCCCTACATTTCAGAGACGGTGACATTAGTGGCCCACATGTGTTTGTGCTCAAAGCTTCAGATGTTGGCCAACTTCTGGTTCCAAATGCATGATATGATGAAAACTGATACTTGAAGTTTGTACAAATTCTCATTCCTATTTTTTTGTATGTACATGCATGTCAGTTCTTGAACATACATTGATGCTTTAATGTTAACCATATGTCACAATTGTGCTCCAATACAGCATAGGGGCAAGAAAAATAAACCCATCAATACAGCAGCTCTGTGTTAAATCCCAGTTTTGTGAAGATCCATTGTCAATGTTTTTCATTGTGAAGTTAAGACAACCTTTAATTATAGTACCAAGTTGGACATTTATTTGCTACTAGGATTTTCTATCGGTCTATCAGCAAGTCAGTGGTCATCAAGTTGGATGCGGACAAAAGCTGCTAAACATTGAAGATTCAATTTGCCTTTGAATGTGAGATACAGTCATAGTTTCCTCAATTATCTCTTCATCTGTCCCTGAATCCTGGTCTTGTGGAAAGTGAACATTTTGAAATTGAGAGACAAAACAAGAAAAACTGTAAAGGTCACAGAGCCCCCCCCCCAGCACCTACAAATACCCCAAACACCCAAGACGTAAGTCGACACCCATGGCAGTTCTAAGAAATGAGTGAATTGGTATTTAGTGCAGTGCTAGTTTGTATTGTTGGGAGCTTTTCTACTGTAACTTTCACAATCATCAACCAGTGTCATCTGCAAAGATCCTATTACTGTAAACTAATAGGTCTGTATTACACACAAAGATCAGACGGTGCATACACATATTTAGTTTTCCTCTGCCCATATCATTTACTGCTTTGTGTTTGTTTTTGTTGTTGTAGCACATCCATATTCAGCATTAAAACCCACTCAGCTGCCATGACAGGTCAGTTAAACCCAGTAAGTACCTGATGTTTATTACAGTGTGGGTCTGTCCTCTTCAACTGGAAGAGTAAAGCCTTGTGTGACGTATTCATTCCAGTTTAGTCGAAGGTCGAGACTGCAGGACGCGTAAATGAGTTTGTGATCGAGAATCTGAAATGAAATGGGCTAACATGGTAAGTAGTCAGCCATGGACTTAAAGATTGTGTGTGTTTGGGTGTCATTTACATTAAAGGATTGATTCTCCCCAATGAGAAAGAAAAGTTATTTCTCTAAAATCTCTTAAAGGTTCAGTGTGTAGAATTTAGTGACATCTAGTGGTGAAGTGTCATGTTGCAGCTAAATACCCCTCACCTCCCCTTTCAAACATGAGAGAGAACTTGTGGCAGCCGTCAGTTGTCATAAAAACTCAAAAGATATTTAGTTATGATGACTGTAAAAAACATGGCGACCTCTGGAGAGAGCACGTGCTCCAGATAAAAATATCTTTATATCTTACATCTGCCCTTGGGTCCATTCTAGGGTAAAGAAACTGACTACAACAATACATGATTACTACGACTACATTGCAACTGCTACTATTTAAAAATGAGCTGACATTCAGTTCTTTTTGCAGCACACAAAAATCAAAAACTACATTTATGAAATTGAACTGCCACATTACTGCCCAGGAAGTGAGTCACCATAATTCTGAATAACAAAAATAAAAGCGACCACTCTTTCTGTTATGTTGCCCTGGAGTTTTCCCCAGTGAGCACCACAAATAAAAAATGCTTTCACCCGTGAACATGCACAAATAAAACCGAAAGTATTCATTATGCAGATTAGCTGTTTGTTATAGGAAGGAATATTCTTTAATTTCTTTGTAATTTGGTTCACATGACACTTTAACTTTTGACCCATTAGGCTGAGGCTGATTGGCACAAAGTTTAAATGTATTTGATTTTTATTGGTTTCACAAACATTGTATTATGAATTGTTTACCATTTCAATGGAAATGTGACAAATCATTGATGTATTTGTTTTAATTCTTTTAATAAAGTAACTGCATAGTTTTTTATGCTACTTGTCTTTTCTTCTGTAGTTGAGTGAAGAACTTGTTAGATCCATAACTTTTGAGGTGAGTCAGACTAGTGCACCACCCGGTGGGAAATGTAGAATACTACAGACTTAAGGTCCATGAGGTCCACTGATTGATAAAGTTATTTAAGTATAAATACAAATAAAATAAAAGCTAGGAAATAAATAAAATAAAAGTTTTTACAAACCATTATTTTTAGTCAAAGTTTCATTTAGATAGTATATCTCACTGTTATACCAATATTCTTTTATTCATCAGTTCAGCCACACGTCACATGTCAAGACATTATGAGGAAGTAGAGCAAATGAAAGGTATTTATTAATATCTGTTGCTGAATGTGGTCGGAACCACACGTGATATGCTCTATGATAGTATAATACTTTGGCTTCAGAATTCATGCTCACAAAGAATTATGAACATTTCACAAATGGTTAACCAACAGTAACTGGTTGACCAAACTCAGATTAATCAATTAAAAGGAATGAATTTCCTTGAGCTGTGGCCTCCCTCACTGCATCACACTTAGACCTGAGCTTTGTCTCTGTCAAACTTTGGTTTCCTGTTGGATGAGAGAAGAGCTGATTGTTGAGACAGTTTGACACGCGAACCACCAAACAATCCATCACATCAAAACACCACTTCCCTGCAACGGTCATTTTGCAACATGAAGTTTGAGCATCTTGTTTCACTTTCTTAGTAACTGAGGGGACTGATGGGCCTTGGTGGAGGTTTACAGTTTATTGACTGATTTGAAAGACACATGAAACAGCACAAAACAAGTGGAGACCTAAACAACAGCAACAACACAGTCGAACAATTAGACAAAAAACTGTTGAGTTAGTACAAACAGTTTCTATAATCAATAACTTAACATCAGTCTTTGAATAAGGGTCAAAATGCCTGATCAAAAATCCAGACTTTAAGATTTATTTATTAAGTTTCAGGTCTAAATCAAGTCAGAATTCTTGAAAAGTAAATTGAAAGTCTAAGATTTTTTTTGCTGACCATTAAAATGAGAAGAGATTTTAATTTTTGAGCATTTTTATTTCAAAATACATTAAAAATAATTTTCAAGTCAGACCAGAACAACATACACATGTGCACATTGACACAGTTATCTGTTCTCATCATTCCTCTGTGGAAAGTTAGCAGTTACTGATTTTTACTTTTTGCATTGATGAGACCTTTTTTCAGTGAATAAACAAAAAACAATAGAGTTTGCACAAGCCCCATTGAATGGTGTTTCTTAAATTTTTTTACCAAGTCAGAACTTATTAGACATGAACATATTCAGCCTGCCATTTTTTTCGAGCTTGTCATTCATGCACATTATCATCATAAAACAGACGCATCGTGTTTGTGGATGGACTTGCACCATCACTTCCTCTGGAAAATGCAAAACATTTAGTGAGATTGTCTTCAAGCAAATAAAACACAATTTATAAAATGAAAAAAAAAAAAAGCATTGTGAATGAAGCTGCAGGCGAGACTCAGCAGTTCAAGTCAAATTTCCTTTTAAGGAAACATGCACATACTGGTTCTTCAACAGATGATAGGTTATATTCTAGATTCTTGACCCCATGGTCTTAGAAGAAGCTGCTCCATTGTACTCATGGTGTTGGTTGGTGTGTGCTTCCTCTTGTTGTGCGCCTTGAGGTTTGAAGGTGGAGCTTCATGGAGTTCCTCTTGGTCGCATTTGCAGTTAACCAAACCTTTGACATCCAGTTCTGAGCGCTGGCGTCTGTGCTGTCATGGTTTACATCACCGACTTCCCTCTGGATCTCAGCTAAAAGTCTCCAGGTGGTGTCAAAGATGACGGGGGTCCAGTTCCTGGCCTGTGTGTGGACTCTGGTCATCACACAAACTGTGTTGGGTGAGTGGAGGTCTGTTGTTCCAGCTGGTGGTCTCAGCACCTGCCTGTGTACGTTCAGTGGGAAATTGTACTAAAGAATAAGTAAAGACATTTTGTTTTGGGAATCATTAAGAGCCAATTTCTTAAAAAGCTTGATAAAAGCACAGGAACCCTTCTGCATTACTGTGATATTGGATTATTAGATCAACTTCACTGTGGTTAAGGTTAAACGGTTGGTGGGATGATCGATGAACAGACTTCATGTATTTCAATCACATAAAACTTCCATGTAACTTCATTACAAAAGTGTAAAATAAAGCATCACGTTTAATGAAATGTTTGTTGAGTTTGTGAAAAAATTCTAATTGTGTTTAATGTATATTTTTATGTTTAAGTTTATTTAATTAAATACAGTTTTTTTATTTATTTACACTGACTCATACTACTTATTTAATGTAATGTAATGTAATGTAATGTAATGTAAATGTTGTATTTTTGGTTGTATTTAAGAGCAGAGGTGAGACACCTTGTTGAGTCCTGTGAGATAAAATTGTGATTCATGAATATGGGCTATACAATATTTTATTAATTTATGATTTTTAAATATGGTGGTTGTCTCTTATATTTTGTGTTTTTAGCAGTAGTGTTTAGTATTTGAATTTTCTTCCATGAAGTTGAGTCTTTACTGGATTTATACAGTTTTTGTTCCCCTCTACATCAAGAATCAAGTACAAAGCTCTCAAACAACAACAACAGCACTTTTCCTTTGAAACATTTGCACTTCTTCGAAACAAGAATACAATCATCATTTTCTAACACCAGGCGAGAATAGCTGATCTGTGTTCTAACACCTCGCAGTGCTGTGTATAACACATTGTTGTATTTTTTCTCTCTAGTGCTCAGTGACATTCAGTTCTTGGAGAAGTATGAGGGCGAGTCTGTGGTTCTTCCTTGTGCCATAGAGCAGAGAGACCCTCATGCCTTCGGCATGTACCTGAGGCGAGACTGGCTGCAGAAAGGCACGGTGCTCTTCATGTACACCAGGAGTGACACCACTGAGGCCAAAGAATACCAGGACCGCATCAGTGTCAGCGGTGACCCGAGCACCCACTTCATGGACGTGACCATCTCTGAGCTGAGGGTTAGCGACACAGACCACTACTACTGTGAGTTTGTTGTCCATAACCCACTCTCTGAAGACGAGCGGATACATGGAAACACTGAATTCTTCCTCCTTGTTAAGGCTGGTGAGTGTTTCCCCCTTCTATTCATTTCATCACCCACACACAACCACACCCACACACAACCACACCCACACACAACCACACCCACACACACCCACACACAAACATCTCTTTGTTGGTTAAACTTTCCAAACTCCCTGAACAAGAAGGTCAAGAAGATGTGTGAAGTGGGATCTCTAATGTCTCAGAGGGTTGACATTAGAAGAGTGGTTCCACTGAGCACCTCTGTCCTATAAACATGTGGAAGTGATCATTATTTGTCCGTACAGGGGGTTTCATTTTTCATACACATGAACCCACTGTTCAAATAAGATCCTCCTTTTTTCATTTCACTATGGGGGTATTACAGCAGCACAGGGGAGAGGAAAAAGAAGCATCAATAAAAATGTAATAAATACACAAACATGCAAGATAAAACATAAGGACATATAAAAATAAAGCAATGTACAGTGTAACATGATAAATACAGTTTTATGACATATTGGTCTTTCACACTTTATTGAAATTGCACCTGAGTGAATTTAAAGTCATTATTTAGCCGTGCCTGAGTCCGTTACATCAGTTTTCCCTCTCCTCTCTGGAGCTGCTCCTGGCTCTCTGGAGATAGGGTTCATAGAGACATGTGCCGGGGGCTCGGCCGTGCTCCCCTGTCTCCCCCCGAGCGGTGAAGACTTGACCGTGGAGGGTGTGAGTCTGAAGCGCCAGAAAGGCCGGGCTCCTGTGGAGACTTTGTACCACTCAAGCCACGGCAGCAGCTCTTCTTCTTCTTCCATCTCGTCCTGGTCCTCTTACTCTATGTTTCCCACTGGGAGGGTCCAGCTGTTGACGGCGCCCCGCCCCGGCGGCCTCACCTACAGCCTCACCCTGCAGCAGCTGCAGCCGGACGAGAGTGCCCTGTACAGCTGCCAGCTGCTTGTGCGAGGCAGGGCCAACAACAGCTCCAATCTGGGGAGACAAGTGTTCTCTGTTTCTGTGCAAGGTGGGTCACATCATTTTCCACTTTTTTTCCAGGTCTTTGAAAATAAAAATAGTTTCTCTTGATAATAACTTAAACTGTCTCTCCAGGATGAAGCCAGATTTACCCACAGCATGACAAAACCAACTGAATTCTTTTTTATTTAGGTTTGTGACACAGGGCACCTTACTGTAAATAACAGTTGTAATAATGATAATAGTCTCCAACCAATGTACCATTTAATCCCGTCTGAATGTGATCAGTGTAATAAGAATGTGTTCTGTTCGTTTTGGTGTTTTCTTGTTGACAGAAAGAACTTGAACCACTTCTCTGCCAACCAGTGCAGCTTCCATCTACATATATTTTTTTCCAGAATCATCTGATGTCACTGTGACCTTCGGCCTTTGATCACTGAAATCTAAGCTGCTAATCTTTGCGTCCAAGTGGTTAAAATTAAAAGCTGACTTGAGATTTCATGTTCAAGCTAGTCCTTGATTCTAAGTGAACATTTGTGCCGAATTTAAAAAGTCTTCTTGAACAGGTGTTCCTGATGCATCCTATTCACAAGATCACCGTGAGCTTTGACCTTTAACAGCATAAATCTAATCAGTTACCAAATTTGAAGAAAACTTTTAAATGAACCAGGGATAAATTAAAAGTCTAATGTTTGTAGAAAGTTCACCCATCTTCTCATTTCAACTGCTATCGGATCAAACAGAAGTGCTCTCTGATGCTGACAGTTTAATCACCTGTTCATGTTTGTGGTGCTCGGCTGTTGGTCTTCACTATGAGTAATGCAGCCTCGAACTAGGAAGGAAGTTTTGCACTTCTTTATTTCATGCTGTCATTTTTCTCCTACAGGATCTCATGAACGTCACATTGACAGATCAAATGCAAGAATACTTTGAGGCTCCTGAGGAGATGTCGCAGCCCCTGAGTGTTTGTGTTCTGTTGTATCATTCAGTGAGGTCAACACTCTCATCTTTCATATTCTTCTCCCTCTCTGCTTCTCTGCAGGTGGTAACTGCGGCTGCTCCAGCTACTCCACCATGCTGTACGCTCTGTCCTCGGCTGTAGCCGTCCTCCTCCTCATTCTCCTCATTGGATTTGTGGTGATTTATAAAGTGAGTAGACTCTCAGACATTTAGACATTGTCTGAAGACATTTAATGTGCTGCTCTGACATGATACGAGAGTGCAGGGGAAACTTTGTGTGTTAAGCAGCTGCTTGTTGAGAGCGTGTCAGAGAGTTCCTCTGCAGCTCACCACAAAACCACAAGAGTTTCATAACTTGTTGTTGCCTCAGAGTGTTTTTCTAACTTCAGGAGGAAAGGCAGTGAGACCCTCACTCTACTTCTGTCTTAGTTTTAATAAGCTTTGTGTAGTTTTCAATTCATGCGTTTCCCACTGAAAAATGTGTCATTGTGAAAGTGAAACTTCCGGCTGAGGATGCTGCTCTGAGAGAAAATGAAAAGCTCTGATTTTAACACAGGAAATCCAGTGTGTGCAAATTGTTTGTTGCCTTCACAGATTTTTTTTTCCCATCAGGGCAAAGCTCGCCGCAGTGTCAAGCCACGCCCTCAGGCTCCCATCTACGAGGAGATGGCCGGGGTGCAACTTCTTGCTCGAAAGTTGGCCCCTCACCATCTGGAGGAAATGGAGTCTTCTGAGTACAGAAACTGCTCTGTGAAGAAATCCTGCCCTGAGAATCATTATGAAAGCCCAACCCCCACCTTCTGTTCCAGTAGGTAAACTCAGACCTGAAAAAAAAAAATGATTGACTGATATTCATGAGTTTTTTGCAATCTGGTTCAGATCCAAATAAAAATCTAGATTAGTGAATTTAAATGTGACTTCAAGTAAAAGATATTTCTGGATCTGCACCACAATTGAATGGGTACTTTTTTGGTCCAGGCCCCTCCACAGTATATATCATACAAATTGGTTCAGTAGTTTTTGTGTAATCCAAGCTCTGTTGAAAACAAAACCTTAGGTAAAAATTACAAACCTTCCTAGCAGCATCATGAACTAAACCAACTCTCCACCTCGGCTGCCTCTGACACACAACAGATTTTTACTGCTATGATGTTTTAATTGTCTGTGCATTGGATCGTTGTTTGGTCAAAAGAGTGTTTGTATTTTGTCATAAGTTTAGTATACGTCTATATTGCAGTGTCAATGTATCTTGTGATGTGATATATCTAGAAAATGTATTGAAAAATTGTTCATGGAAAATAAACAGAAATTAATGCTTTGGATACATTCAGGAAATTAAATGTGCCTTGTGTGGTTTTATCATTAAAAAAAAAAAAAACAAGATTCCTTGTGTGTGTTCTTGAAGTCCAGCAAAGATGTTGAAAACACCTTTATATCTCATTTTTAAGGATTTGAAACCAACCTTGTTTCTTCTTTCAACACATCATTGCCACCATCTATCACCAGGGTAGTGAAAGGGTTTCACTTGAACAGCGCTTGTTCCTTAAACTGTGTCGTTCAACCACGTGAGAAAATAAATTATGTGGTTGTGTGTGTGAAATTCATTTTATCTGAGTCTAAAATGTTCGGAAAATTTAGAGGGAGTCTTCTCAGGCGTCCTTAAGAGAACACGTTCACGAGAACAAGTGGGTTTAGGGAGTTCAAAGTAACCTGGACCTTTGAAATCCAAATTCAAACCAGTGAACGCAAAATCTCAAGAACACCTTGAGGGAATTTCTTCAAATTTGGTAAAAACATTCACTTGGACTCTAGGATGACCTGATTTGATTTTGGTGAGCAAAGGTTAAAGGTCAAGGTCACAGTGGCCTCACAAAGCATATTTTTTGCGTTTTGAATGTGTTGTTTCAGGAAAGCTGTCAAGGAATCCTTTCACATTTGGTACAAACATTCACTTTGACCCAAAGATGAACTGATTACATTTTGGTGGACAAAGAGCAAAAAGGTCAAGGTAACATGACATTATGTTGTTTTGAATGCAAAATATCAGAAATGCTCAAAGGTAATTTCATCACATTTGTCACAAACATTCTCTTGGACTCAAGGATGACCTGATCAGAAAGGTTTTTGCCTTGTTTACACAATATCTCCAGAACAACTTCAACTTTGATTTCATTTTGGTAGCCAAAATGTTTGTGTTTTTCTTGAACACGATATCTTGCGATCAGCTTGAGGGAATGTCTTCAAATTTGGCACAAATGTTAACTTGAACTCACCGATTAACTTAATAATTAAGAGTAGTCACAGTGACTTTATAAGGTTATAAGGACGCTATAAAAAAAAATATTACATGGAAGTTGCTCTGGTTAGCAGAGGAATAAAATGGCAGAGCAGTAATTCTAGTTTAACGATGCACTAGTAAATGATGTATGCATTTAATAATAGTTATTATGGAATAGTTCAGTCATAAAAGTCATAAAAGAAAAAGCTTGACACCAGGTAACAGCCAAGAAAATGTTGTACTTTATTAATATAGTCCGAAAGAAGCTCCATAATCAATGGAAACATTTTTTCCGGTGCATGTCCTTAACAATCACATTCTATGAGGAGAAAAAAGAACAACATTAAAAGCCACAACTTTGTATTTCAGTTACAGACATTTTTCCTTAATGTTTTTTGTCAAAATAAAGAGAAAGGCAAAGGCAAATTACACCCCCCACCCCAATTCCCTCACCCGCCCTCCCTCCCTCTGCCCCATAAAAAACAGACAGCCTTTAAAAGTCATGGGCTTTTTTTTTTTCAGTACAACCCACAGTGCTTTAGCAGAAGGATAAGCGCTCATTGGTTAAGGATTACACAGCATGACGACGCAATGTAAAGTTTTGCTAAAACATTAGATGATGGTGATGATAAAAAGAGGAAGGGGAAGGAAATCTGAGCAAGAGAGAAAAAGAAAGAACAACCTTAACATGAAACCCTGAACCCCAGAGTCTGAGTCAACAAACGCCTGCGTCACAGCTGCAGGGGTTTGGACTCTTCCCTCCCACTTGTGCATAGATCATGATCCTTTAAAAAACAAAACTTTCAACCTCTCCACTGCTGGAGACCTGTCACAGCAACAGACGTGTTAACAGAGAGGAGAGACGATTCAAAAAAGAAAGAAATACTTCTTGCACGATGCTCCAGAACTACAAGATGGAAAAGTAAAAGTACTGCGTCAAAACGTACAAATGCATCTTCTGTCTTTTTGACAATCAAAACATTGATCGTTGTTTAAATGTAAAGCAATTTCTACTTAGATTTCACATGTAAAGCACTCCACTTTTTTCAAAGTTGATTCTCAGTCTTATTTGGTAAATATGTAACTTGCTACGAACATCTTTTTGTTGTTTTAAAGAAACAATGGTACTCTATATTCTGTTAAACCTTCAGTGCTTTCTTGGAGTTGAATTGTTTTCAGTTGCTTGTTTTTTTTTTTTCCATACAAACATTAAACTTATAACTGATGGGAGTTGGGATCTGGAACCCTGGCCTTCCTGAGACAAAATCCACATCTTTTTTAATGAGTGTGCAAGATCGTAAGCAAACGGCGTCGCTTACAGAAAACATAAAATCACAACTCAACACATACAGAGATAGTCTGTCCACATCGAAAAAATGAGAAATCAATAACTGAAGTATGACACAACACTGATCAATCCCAGAGTTCTGAAAAGTAGCATAAATCTTCATTTTGCAAGATTTTTTTCATGTCCATATTTGATGGTAGATGAAATTTGTCCTTTTTCTTTTTTCATTTGTTTTTTACACAACATTCCTGTTTATAAATGTCTATTTCCTTGAACTTCAGACACATGAAATGCTTGTAAACGACAAGTGGCTTTTGCAAAAAACGAGAACAGAAAAGATAGGCACCTCTGAAATGAGTCTTGTAACAAACTCACCTCCCACACTTTTATCCCTTTTCCATTTCCACATGAAGTTAACATAGGGATTACTATTCCTTCTACAGCTATCTATGGCAACAGTTCTTTGTTTTTTTCCCCCATTTTTTAAGTTTTTTGTCTTTTTTTTTCTCTTTTCTTTTTTTCTTATTTTTATTGTATAACTGGAACAAAATGGTGCAATACTCAATGATAATCCTTGTACTGGATTATTCCACAATAAAAGCCACTATAAGGTAGATAAACTTTTTACAGATAGAATCAAAAAAATCCATTAAGTCCTTGAGTAAACATGTACACGTGAATTGTCACCATCTCCCCTCCGTACTTAGACTCGTTTACCTACGATTAGCTGAGTGAGGGGTAGAAGACACTCAGTGCAACGTTAGAAGATAACAACGTCTATCAGAATAGTATTTGACAGAGGAACGACACAAATGAAAAGATAAAAACAGACAAAATATAACATACTGAGTGGAACATAACAGCAGGCCATGTGCCCTGTACGCACGTCTTGTGCGCACACATTCATACAAACATCTGACTTTCAAGCACACATCTAAGATGACTTTTGCATTTTTTTTTCAGAGATTTTGTATTTGTAACTTAATGCAATACATTTTTGATATTCTCTAAAAAGCCCCTAAGTGTACCTGTCAGACGGAGAGAACAAAAAAAAAAAGAATTACTGACTTCACATTACGTTATTGGCGCTCCATGATTCAAGTATTTGTGTTCGATGTTTTGTTTTGATATGTTTGTGATTTTTTTTCCTCATCAACTGGGTAAAATATGCATCAAACCAGGTGATTCAGGTTGGGCTAACTAACAAACAAACACATATATACAGTACGAGCACTTCAAAGTACTGTAATATGTCATCAAAACCAGAACGTGCATATCCAACTCCGTAGAACAAAGACGCAGCTTTCAATCAATCAAGTATCCGTTTACACCCGACCCTAATTCTTTCCTTTGTGTCACTTATTTGCGGGGAAAATACATATTGCTCATTTTCAGGTGTATCAAACCAAGACCTTTTCAAACAAAAACGAAGAGTTTCAGAGGTTAAGATCCAAGAAGTCAGAAGAGGTGATAATACACACCACACTCACAGTATATACATATACATATATGTAGTGTATACATACATTATATACTGTTATCTAGAACAGAGCTGTAGAGAGGAGACCCTCTCGATGCTGGTGCAGCATGGGAAACCCCCTTCACTGTCAGGGTTCTCCAGTTAGTACAGGATGCTGGGAGGTCCTCGGCTATTGGGTCTGTCTGAGCTTGGATCAAGGCAGTTACAGAAACAGGCAATAGTGATTTTTGCTTGTGTGCTGCAGGACTGCAAGTCCTGAAAGGTAGCCTTTTCCCGTTTTCTTGTTTATTATTATTTTTTTTAATTTTTAAACATTTTTTTTTTTTAAATGATTTTTAAGACTTTGTACCTCTTGAAATGTGCCCCCTCCCCTCTTGCTGATGCAGAGTGAGGGGAGTTGAGGCTGATACAGTGGGCCCAAGCCATCTGGGTCTGTGGAAATGTACAGTTCAGTGGGACCCGCTTTGAGCAGGACACAAACATAAAAACGAGATAAATACAGCATCCACAAAAAAAGGCACCCCAGCCACTAGTCTACTCCTTTAGATGGTGGTAGTAGAAGCTGATGGCCGGAGACGTTTCAGCTATAAGTGCAGAGCTTTAACATATTATAGATCTTTTTTTTTCATTTAGATTTTTTAGCATTTTTAAGATTTTTATGTCAAACTTCATAAAAATGACGTTAAAATGCGATTTCATTTTTGGTTTTAAAAAAATATGTACCCGGGATTACCCATCAGCAACTGTGCACTGTAGCAAACTGGAACCCCCAACTGAGTAGACTTTCTCCTTAGCATGGGGCGTTCCCCACAAAAGCATAAAAAAAAAATCTCAGTCATTTCAGGGTGTGATGCTGCCGCCCATTTGTTTGTTCCCTCCTGTCCCCCGCTGCACCCTCCGCAAAGGTTATCAAAGCTCCTCCGAGTACGGAACAGAAGTGCTGTCTACAAAGACACGGTATGACACAGCAAATTTATATTGGCACGTTACATTGGCATCTTTGACATGCAATAATAGGCCACAGTAACTGTAGGCCACCTTTTGAGAAAAGGATTGAATACAAGCCTTTTCTCCTCCAATTAGGATTAAGTTCGAGGCATGAGGTCTGTACATATTGTTGCGCAGATGGCCTTTAAATTTAAGACTTCGCTCTCACAGTAGAAAGGACAGATACGGAGAGCTGCATCTCGTGCTTGGTATCATCAACTCCCCAACCCTGAGATCAAGCTGGACAGAAGTGTCTTCAGCGCAGAGACAAAGTTCGACCTTTTGATAAAAGTGTTCGAACTTTAAGTATACGACAGTGTTCTGGTGGCTTTGCCTGACTTTACAGAAACGGTGGCCATTCCGAAGTGCTGACAGGAGCCACCGGGGACGAGTGTCAGGGTTTGCCACGCTCATTCCAGAGTCGGGTTTGGCGTGCTGTAAAGGGCCCCAGCCTCTAGTCTTTTGCATAGAAACAGATACGAGGGCCTGTTGGTGCCTGGTCGGGGGGGGGGGCTACTGGGTCTGGTTGAGGTGGTGGAGGTGAGGAGGTTATAGCATAGCAGCTAGGCAAAGGGGAAGGGGGGACAGCCTGCGGGCAGGCGGAGCAGCTTGGAGCGACAAACACCCACACCCCTTTTTTTTCTTTTTTCTTTTTTTTTTTTTACACATCTCAAGGTACTACCTGGAAGTACTACAGAATACTGTCAAACACAAAAGCATGATAGTTAAAAAAAAAAACTAATAGACAATCAATTACGGTCTGTAGTATTGATCCTCGTTTTGCATTCAATACACAGGATGAACATACAGAGGCACCTCTGACCAAAGTGTTTCTGCATATGAACAGTGAAGGGCTAGTCAGCAGCCAGTATATTGTAGACCACTGCATGTAGACAAAAAAAAAAATAGAACACATTGGAAACAAAGTCAAATCATCCTTTTTTCAAAAAAAAGAGTACACTGGCAAAAATTCCAGAAATATGACTATTACATCTTCCAGCTAAAGTGATCTTTGTGTCAAAGAACTGAGAGATGAGGGGGGAGGGCAGGATGACAGCAGGGTTGAGTGGTGGCGGGCCCCCGTTGGAGATGCTGCACGTGTGTGTGGCAAAAGCCGTGATTGGCCGAGTCTTGGAGGAGCCGCTTTCTTGCCAGGCTGAGGGATGGTCAAGTGGAGCCCGGGAGGAAGTGGGGCTGCCGCTTGACACCCAGAGGACCACAACATAGAGGCACTCAGTGGACACTCCACCTCCCCACCCCACTCGGACTCATCCACCGACCGACTGGCTTGACGGGCCAGCAGGCGTCGAGACAGCTGACATTGCAAGTCTAGTGCCTCCAAACAGAACAAGGCGAAAACATTTGGAGTAACAGTGATATTCACTTTGATAAAGGTGAAAGAGGGGGGGATCGTAGACTGCAGTTCTTTCCCCCCAAAAGTCCAATGGTACATTTCAGTTCTGTTTCCCTTCATCCTGCTACCAGAGGAACAACGCCAGACACATTTCCAAGAAATTGATACAGTACATAAAAGAGCAGGTTTTTTTTGTTGTTTTCTATGTTTTTGCTGCTCCTTTTTTTGATTTATTGGATTGCAGTTGAAGCGATTTGCTCTTCATAAGTGCTATGATAAAACCCTTTGAATTTATAAAAGTCTTAGTCTCTTCTGTTTATACAGTACCAAACGCAAGGAACACTCGTAGGTTTACTGCATTAGGAGAAACCCCTCTTATTTGGTATTGTGCCAGATACCCAGAACCATCCAATCCCACTGTAGATTCAGTCTCTGTTGGGCGTGGCTGTGGCACGCAGAGAGGAAGTATGCATGTGTGTGCCCAGTTTCACTCTTCAGTACAGTTTTCTGCATGCACAGTTCAAAAGCTGCTTCTTCCTCTTTGCAGAGTTTTCCCAACAGTATCAGGGGGATTGGCAGCCTGGAGGGAATCCAAGTTGTGAAAAGGGGGTAAGGTGTTTATTTCTTTTTGAGTTCCAAAGTCTTTTGCTGCAATCAGCAACAATCAAAAAAAGAAAATAAAAATATAAGAGAAACCAGCTCCGGTGGACATCGAGTATGGACGGAAGAAAAGTCTATGGTGTATATTGCACAATGAACTGTCATGAAGGTGAAATTGTATAATTATTTTTCCCCAAAAAATGGCTGATCATTCAGACCACTGGGCTTCGTAACAAACTGGATAATTGAAAATTCAACAAAGCACCAGTATGTTCCAAGTTGAGGGTGACCAGAAGCATCTGGCCTCGCAGATGTCAGTGATTGGGTACCACCGGACATACGAAGGTCATGTATGAAAACAGAGACAAGGTTAACGAATAATCTTCTCTCAGCTTATATGTTGTGACAGATATCAAAAATGCGCTTGGATCTAAACCTAATAAAATAAGAACATTTAATAGCTGAGCATTTCCTTTGAAAAGACAAATTTAATTATTTAAGCTGATGATTGGTAGGGCCAGTCACATGGCCAGGCCTTCTAACTGCCCAGTGACAGAGTTGGTCACCAATTGTGTCCTATACCACTTGCTGGCTCAGAGGTGAAACTGTGCAAGATTTCAGCTATATCTTCAGTTACAAAACAAACTAAAAAAGGTGCGTGGGAAGGACCTGGGCCAGAGAGCACTTAAGGCTAATATTAGTGCTGAGAAAACAATGTTAACATAACTCGTAAAGGTCTTCGAACCACATCATTGGCCATGGACATGCTGGGAATGGTCGTTTTAAGTCTTATTTTGGGATGATTTGTTTTTCTTTTTTGGAGGGAAAAGGAAAGTCTCAGATGGCAGCTTTGATTGCTTCTCCTAACAACACTTCACTCAGAATGTCATGTATACTTATGGAAAAACTAAAAATACTTAAAAGGTTTCTTTGTGTTGTGTCTCATTTCAGTTTGTTTTATATGATGCATTTCAAATATAGCAAAAGGAAAACAACTTGCCGTTTTTCCATAAAAAAAATAAACCAAATAAAAAAGAAGGATAAATGTAAAACAGAAGGAGTGGAGTCGGCAGTCTGTGGTAGGGACCCCCTTCCTTCTGAATCACAATTCACAGTTCAAAACAGTTCAAATTGATACTGATTATCGCCACATGATTTGCTTGGGTTTTGCTCCTGTTCACTTTTTTTGTTTGTTTTGTATTTTTTTTTTTCCACCTCACCCACCACCGATTGGCTTACATGACACGGTGGTCGGTCGGTTAGTGTATCGTGGCATCATCCTACATGGACTCCCCACTCAGTAGATCTCCAGGCAGCAGGGTGTTGATGGAGGTAGGGCTCCCGATCACGCGGGCGTCCTCTCCGCTTGGCGGTCCCCAAAGGCTGGAGTACTGAGGCACCCCGCCCCACAGCAGATCGCCGCCGCTGGCCTTGCCGCCACCGCCGCTGCTCCACTGGCCAATCGAGTGGGACTGCACCGCTCCGCCCATTCGGTTTTGATTGGTTCCCGGGTTGGCCTGCCAGCTAGTGGTGTTTGCCGCTAGCGACTGACCTTGTGCAAAGAAGCGATTCACCTCCTCCTCGCCAGCAAACTCCGCAAGGATAGTGGTGTTACCAAGCACGCACCTGACACGGAACAAAAGAGGAAATAATTAGTCTTACGGTGAAAAGCAATACAGAAATAAGGAACTGATAATGTTTTTATGTTTTGGAAATGTCATCTTTGTGTAAAAATGGGCCAGGATACACCTGACACTTTTTATAAACAAACTGTAGTGCTCATTTAGGGCTTAATTGTTCCATTATGCGTTTTCATGCCCTGCTGTAACCACATTTGCATGTAAGTGGTAATGAAAAGTAGGTCACACATCTCATATTTTGTTTCCATGACAACCAGTACAAACCCTCAGGAAAACAAAATAAGGGGACAAATCTTAGACACTTGCAAATAAAGCATAGAGACTCCCTTGGACTGGTCGCTTCTCCTATTTCACTTGCATGACTCCAGAAATCTCTGTAATCTTACGATACAGCTGACTACAGTGTGACTTTCCCACTGACTCTCCTTGTGACTGCAGAGATACAAAAATAACATCATCTATGCTTCCCCAAAAAGATGGGTTAGGTGTTCTCTGCCACCATTAAGAAACAAAAAACTATGGATTTCTCTGTTAAAGTTACAGTGTGTAGAATTTTGTGATATCTAGTGTTGAAATTGCATGTTGCAGCTGAACACCCCTCACCTCACCCTCCTTCCAAACATGAAAAATAACCTGTGGTAGTTTTCATAAAAACTCAAACGATGTTTAGTTGGTCCAGTCTGGACTAATGTAAAAAACATGGCTGCCTCCTTAGAGAGGGTCCCCTTGATTTAAATATAAAATATTTAAATATAAAGGGCCTTTTCTGGGGTAAAGAAAACTACAATTCATACAATTTAGATGAAACAAACTAGTGAAAACATCATGAGGATTATTCTACATTAAATTTCTGCCAATAGTTCCCTTTCACCTAAATCTTACACACTGGACCTTTAAAGCGCAATGACTTTTATATAAAAAAGAAAGGGGGAAGTGAAAAGCAAAACAAGTGAAAAAAAACATTTCATTTCAGCCTACTAAACCACTCTGGTTGATGAGAGAGACTTTGCTGTGTCTTACATGTGCAGAGACTTCTGGGCCTTTGCAGCCTCGTCCTTGGAGCTGTAGCGTACCACGGCGTTCCCCTGGGTCAGGTTGAGGTGGAATGTGATCAGGGGGCCGTGCTGCATGCACAGGGTCCGCAGAGTTGAACCATCAATCTGGAGCGCAGGAGAAAAATAATGTTTGTAAAAAAATGCAGTACTAATATCATTATTATTCATCAGTTATACACTAGACACTTTTCATTTTCTCTTAATTACTGTCCAACCTCTATTTTTGTCCTATATTGTTTTCTTCCTTTTTTGTTGTTGTTAAAGAAATCGAAGCCTTGTTTTTTAAATCCCACTTCAGTCACTTTCAGAAATAAACAACACAAGCCACTCAGTCGAAGGAACAACAGGAGCAGAAAATCATGTCAGTTTCACTTTGACACAGCCATCGGAGGAATCATGACGAATCATTATTCTGTTTTTTTTTTTTTTCGATATGACATTGATTCATGACCAGATATATCTTTGAATTCATCATATTTACATGCAAATTCTGCTCATCATACAATGTGGCTTAGATTAAACAAGAATTAGAATCACAGAATACATACTTGTGGAGTGAGATTCCTCAGCACCAGCCAGCTGCTGGTCCTGGAGGAGCTGTCAGTACTCCAGGTGGTTCCCTCTGTAAGAGAAATGAAGAGTCCGTTAATAAAACGTAACGCAAAGAGCTTTCTTTTCAAAAGCATTGAGACAAGAAGCTGATTTCATATGACAGTGCCCTTTGAATGTATCTAACTCTAAAAGGAAATTATAAATTTAAAAATGTAATTTACTATCTAATTATGTGTATTAGATCTTTATAAGCCACCGCCACATTCTCTTTAGCAGAGCCTGGACCTCTGGGCATGAGGTCATAAGCTTTGACATGAGAGGTAACCACGATAAATTCTACCCATTGTATTTTAAGTGCACACACAATTCTTATCTGCATTTCGTAAAGTTCTCTCTTAAAGCATCTCCTGTGACCTCGAGAAAATACACATGATCAGGTCAAAATGAGGTCACATATATATATCTTTTCTTTTTGCAGAGCCGGTAAACCTCAAGATGTCAGTTTAGCAGGGTGTGTTCAGCAAACACTGACAAGGCGAGTGCAGCGAATGCACACTCGCAGCTATCAACTACACCACACCTACACATCAACAGTAAAGTGAATGTTTGCTGAGAGTGAAGAGCATCAAAACAAGACTGATATCCGTGCTTTTACTTTAAAGGAAGCTGCCTTATATGAAAGAATTTGTTGAAAACCTTAATTTTACTAGTTATAAAGAATTTAAATTTCTCAATTTAACAAAGATTTTATCCACAAAATAGTTGTTTCTTCACATGTTAATGGACTCATATTGCTACGATAATCAACATTCTAGAAAATGTTTATCTATATAAGGAGAAACACCTCAAAATGAAACCTGAGACATTGATACATTTTATGGATATTACGCCTTAAATTGCAGCTTAAAAGTCTGAAGGAATGGTGCAAGAGTTTGTAACTGAAACAGTGTCCAGTCAGTTCAACTAGATGCTTCTAAGAGAGAAAAATAAATAAGTACTCACCGGAGGCATAGGAGCTGCTCCAGCCTTGGGCCAGGCCCAGCGAGTTACCGCCCCAGGTAGAGGAGGGCTTGCTGTTGGTGAGGCCTGGCGGGGGTCTGGAAGGAGCTGCGGAGCTGCGTGGGCCCTGGGGGACTTTCCACAGCTCATGGGACAGTGAGCCTTGGCTCTGTGAGATGGGCCCTGGGGACCAGGTGGACTTCATGTCAGACAGTTTGCCTTCACACAGAGAGAGGATGAAAAGACAGGTCAGAGCACAAACTTACAGACAAATAGTTGAGCTAGAACTAAGATGTAATTGCATATATGTGTAGGATTGGAAAATGTGGCACTACATGAGGGGTAGTGTCCAAGAGTCCCTGATTTAAACTGCAATAAAAGCTAATTTTCTACTGTGCACTTAAACTGTCCCAGAACTGTGATGAGTCAAAATTTCTAAATGTCTTGAAGAGTTTTCTTGTCATTCATTTGACCTAAACCAGACATAACTAAGTGCACCCACAGAAGTTTTAGTATAAAAAATGCTTATAGGATGCTTATAAGTGTCTATGATATTACATTTTTCAAGATACATCCCCAATGACATTTATAAACAAGAACTAAAGATATTCTTTGTTGCACACAGGCACATAAAGGTGTGTACTGTAAAAAAGGCCAATCTCCAGTTTGTGTGTTCAACATACCTCCATTCCGATCCCGAAGAAGGTATCGGTTGACATCGTGGATGTTGGTGTTGATGGTGGGACCGCTGGGGACGCTACCAGGAGTCATGTTGGGGTCATTTTCAGGGTCGATGTTCTGAAGGCCCTTCCATGGGACACCTGGGCAGAACTCTATGGGCAAAAATATAAAACATGATTAGAAAAAAAACAACAACAATCTTTTAGGGACAAAGACTGCCATCACATGACTTCTTTATAGTTTCACACAATCTTAAACAGGCCTCTAAGCCACTGCTTGACTCAAAATTAAAATTGCAACTTCCCAACCCCAAGCCCTCTCAGGTTTGACTATCACAAATAATTCTCCAACTGTGGGAAGAACTGCTGGAACAGTTACACAGGAAAAGAACGAAGGATGAGAAGAAAGTAGCACTGACTATAAACCTGTATGACACTTAAATTATTTTTATTTTATCTTCTCACCTGGGGGCCAGTTAATGTTGGTTCCGTTGGTGATCTTTTCATTGGGGCTCTTACCCTGGCCCCAACTGTCAGGGGGTGCCAAGGGGCTGGTGGGGGACTCAGAGCTGGATATAAGATTGTAAGGGCTGTAGGAGACCTCTAGCTGGGGGGGCTTCCCAGGGGGCCCCAGACTGGAGGCAGCAGATATGGCACCTGGAACAAAAACAAATAACAGAGTTTCAGTTAATATACTTCCACGAAGATGATATATATTTCATGTTTTTGCACAGGTTTTACAGATTATTAGTTATGCAAGTCTCTTAAATGCATTTAGGTTCATAAACTTAAGAAAGCTTAAGAGTTAGACGTGTGACTTCAATAGTAAGATGATGCTCTGATGCCTTTTAAGGCCATTCATACATATTTCCAAACATGGAAATATGACAATGGAAACAAGTAGTGGCTGATATTATAGAAGTGTATGTGTGTTGACAGGATGTGTGGGGAAAAAAGCTGCAGATCAGAACCTAATGGTGACTTAAATGTTGATATGGAAAGTGTAGGAGTCAATAAGTCAGAGTAAGTTGGTCATTTGCTAATTTCATTCCAAATGTGTTTTTATAGACAAGTTGTTTTGTCTGAAAATAGAATTTTATAGACCATATAATAATAAGCACAATACTATAAATGTATGACTGTATGAAATCTGTATAATGAGTACATTTATCTAATATGGGATGGGAATGTATTAATAAATTAAGTAATTATTGAATGAACTTCAATAGTGTGAAATGTCATTAAAAATGTTCATATTAAACCATGTTTCATATTTGTGTGCATGCTTGTCTGTGTTTTTCTGCAACATACCATGCTTATTGAGGTTGTTCTCCATGTTTGAGGAGTTGCCAGAGTCCATGGAGTTGGAGTGTGTCCACTGGGACAGGCGGGATTGGGGCTGAGGGGGCTCCTTCAGGGACAGACCCCCAACCTCCATGCAGTTTACATTCATGTTTGGATTCAGTCCAGCTGCAGACACACACAAAACTCTCTTTTTACTTCATTCATAAAATGTAAGAGGATGATGTTATGATTTGACAAGATGCAAGAACATGTGTATCAGCAATTCTCCCAGCAACATGGCTATAGACCTTTTTAGCTGTTTGTTGGACAACAATAAATTTTTCACATAATTTATGTATGACTTATGGTTGGGCAACCGCTAGGATTTCAAAAGAAAAGTGTAACGCAAACCATATTTTGTTAAATTCACATTTATTGATCAGAAGGGACCAACAAAATATTATTTTCAACCTGTTGCCGTCCTGATCCTAGACTTACAAAGAGGGTAGGTGCTGTAGGCATTGGGCGAAGACGGCGCCTCTTTGGTGTGCAGTGTGTCGACGAGGCCCGGAGCCTGGTGTGGGCCTGTGAAGGGGTCCAGGGTTGATTTGCCGGGGCCTCCAGCGGGGCCACCAGGGTGATGCAGACCAGAAGAGGAGGAAGAGGAGGAGGAATGAGAGGGAAGTTGCTGCTGCTTCATCAGCAGCGCTTGGTACAGCTGACGCTGGTGCTGCTGGATCTGCTGCTGCATGTTGGTGATTGTACGTGCAACCTGGGGGAGAAAAGAGAGGGATTGTCACAACAGTATATCATGGAAAGAAATGTTTGGCAATGAGGGAGAGGAAAGCAGAAGGTTAATCAAGTTATAAAGAGCCAAACACAAGCTGGGTGGAATAATAATGAGAGAAAAAAGGTTTTAGAGAAATGAAGAAAGGCAAAGCATAAGGAGAGATGATGTGGAAAGTAGGGTTATTTAAATATTAAAGGGAGAAAAAAAGCTCTTCTAACAGTTCTCATCTGAAAAGTAGGGCACTGCAAAAGAGAACAAACTCTTTGTCCTTTTTGCAAAGAACAGGTTGTTGGCTAATGTTGAAAAAGTCCCCATGCAATTAGTTTGAACAAGATTTCTCTCTGCTGTTGTTATGGCATCATGTGAAACTCACAATATCTATTGAGCAACATGGTGTTGTACCACAGTGTTTGTATGTTCTCACATGGCAACAGGCACAAAATGCATGACTTTTACAATCATACGTTTCGCAGCTGTAATGATGCAGTTGTTGACTCACTTGCTGCTCTTGTTGTCTAATGGGCCCGGAAACATTGCGCTGCGCCTGCATCATCTGCTGCTGGATTTGTAAACGCTGGTACGCCTGAATGAAGGGAATCAAAAATACAATATATTGATTAAAAAAGAAACACATGAATAGAGTGACTAATAAAAGATAGAGATAGAGTCTTGTGTTATTTTAAACCCATTAAGCTAAACTTTCAAATTTTATGTGCTTGGTTTCATTTCCTTTCCATTCAAATAAGAAAATCCTTTAAAGTCCTCAACACAAATACTCTGTTGTGTACATGACAGACGACAAACCCGGCGGGAATGTCAACTCACCATTTGCAGTTGCTGAAGTTGGTACAACAGGGTCATTTGTTGAGGGTTTATTGGTGAGGTTAAAAGTGCAGGGTTCAGACCTATGTTTTTTGCTGCAAACTGCAAGAGCTGTGCTTGGACCTGGAGGGAAGGGAAGGATGGGGAGGAAGGAATGGGAGAGGACAAGTTAGTCATTGCAAATCACATTAACTGCACAAAAACAGCTTCTGGCAAGGTAAAGCAATCACCAGTACATGTGTGCAGAGAGGAACAGAGAAGAGACAGGATCTGCAGAGGGGTTTTACACATCCAAGAGGTTCTAACAGCAAAATGACTGTTTGCAGAAAATAAGATCTTTATTTTACAATGTATTTACTCTAATTTACTTTTGTTTTGTTACTCGTGTTAAACTGAAATGATGCTACCCATTTTGGGTTCTAATCAACTCAAGGTGACATGAGTAAAAATAGTTGAGAATAATTATCATAAGCAAACTGTGGTTATAGTTATAAAGAACTGCTATAATGCAGCACAAATTACAGCCAGTGAATTTGGTCGGTCATCGAAGAAAGATGCACTAATCAAAAATTATTATTCACAATTTGGTTGTCAAATTGTGTTCCCTGGTTAGAGGAAAACTGGTCCTCTGTGTGTTATGAACCAATGTTTACCATGTCTTACATCCAATATGTCCATTATTATGTGTTGCCATCTCTACAAACAAAACAGCCAGAGTCCATAGCGTTCTAATTTCACTGATAGTAGAATGAGGGGGCGTACCTCAAGAACCTCTCAAAGATCCATCTTTTCTGAGAGCACCTTTTCTTTAAACACATTGAACAGCCTGTCTTTACTAGCACTTCTTTACCTGATCTCCCACACGCTGTCTTATACACAGATTAGTACACACTACAACCCTACAGAAACTTTTGTGTGGTCCCCAGTTGTAAGTGTCTTTTGACTGTCAAATCAGTAAATGTAATAAAATGAAGTAATGTAATGTATGTATTTACCTGAGGGGAGAGAAACTGAGGCACTTGAGCACGTAGACTAGGCTGGGAGGAGCTGAGAGGTGGCACAGGTGGCTGAGGAGGCTGCTGCTGCTGCTGCTGCATGGCCCGGGTTTGTGCTGCTCCACTGCTGCCAAACATTCCACTGGATATCTAAAATCAAAATAAATCAAGAATCATAATAGGCACAATGAAACTTTTATATTTTTTACATTAAACCAACAAACAGCAACACGACACCTCAGGAGTAGGGTCCAGAGTTGAGCCTCCAACTTCTTGGATTTGATGTGGTAAGTCAGTACACAAATGAGTTCACTTAAATAGAACTTGAAGTGCACTCAAAAGCTGATTAGGTCGATGATATTTTCAGCCCACACAGCAATGTCTATAAAACTCTTTCAAAGCATTTACCCTCAAGCTGTAACATCTCACAACAGATACTGAACACCAAGTGAGAGCAGACAGTTGTTTAAAACATGAAACTGTAATTATCTTTGACATTTCAAATGGCCCAAAACAATTAACCCTGTAAAAGAGTAGCTTCATCCACATTTCAGATCAAATGATGCTGGCAGAGATTGTTCAATTCAGTGCAGACACAACAGGCGTACAATGCCTTTGTTTGTGCTTCAAGGACGTGCTGCAATTTTTCTGGGCCATGGCTGCCTCTGGGGTTGATATTTGAAGAGCTCAACTATCTCATTTCAATGGGCACATCCAGTAAGGTCATATACACACATAAGTGAGCAATAGAACATTTGGGATTTGAGAGCGCATTCGAGAAGAGAGGTGTGTAAAACAAATTAAATATATCATAAGGTTTTTAGTAACATTGCATGATATAAACTTAAACCCTGCAAAGCCAATAAAATGATAGGACAAATATTGCTATTATATATTATTGAAAACTCATACAGTCTAAATAGTTAAAGGCTTCACAGATTTACTTTTAACTGCTGAATTATAATTTGCATTGTGCAACATTACCATGTTTTGTGTTATTGATACTGTGGCATTTTATAGTACAACTGTGTGTGTATCACTGTGTTACCTGTCTGTTGTTCAAGTTTTGCATGGCCAGCCCCGGGTTGCCTTGTCCCAGACCCTGCCCAGGAAGGCTACTGTTGGCCAGGGGGAGCTTCAGGCTGGGGGAAGGCAGAAACGGTGATGGGGAGGCGTCGTCTGACAGAATTCCATCCTGAACCAGAGCAAAATAAGTGGTTAATGGGAGAATAAATAGATAAGAAAGAAATCTAAATTACATAAATGATTAGGTATGTGAAGAAATAATTCAAGCAACAATTTGAGATGGTGTAATTCCCAACAACTCTTCTTAAACTTTCTTTGTAACACATGTCAAAACAGTCACAATAATGAAAAACGCCCACAAAAAGGTTAGCTGATTAATATTCTTACCTTGTCGAGAAAGGAGGTGCGGTCAGAGAGGTCTTTGGAGAGTGCTGAGGGACGACACACCATGGGCTTGTTCATGCCGTTGCTGTAGTCAGACATGCCCATACCCCGCTTGTCCAGGTCCGTCTTCTTCTCCAACAGGGCGCCTGGTAGCAGAGAGTAAAATGTCAATTTCTTTTTAAAATATTAATCTAAAAAGTGATTCAGAAGCATTGTCCTTCAGATATATTAAATACTATAATTCCTGAGTAGTGTATGACTGGGTATCATTCACAGCAACATCAAAGAAGAGAGGTAGCAACAAAGTTGAATCAGGTATTCATTGATTCATGTTGATGAACTTACTCATGGCCTGGTCAAGGTTCATGTTGTTACTCTTTAAAGCCTCCTCAGCAGGGTCTCTCTGGAACACATGAATAACATGCTTACTAATTGTGGTATATTTCTCACACAAATTAACAGTTTTCTCAAGTTAATCGACTGTTATTATTGTTAGAGGATTTATTTTGCTAAAAATGTATATAAAGAGAGATCTTCCTAAAAAAAGCTTGTCAGTGCTGTGTGTGTGTCAGAACATCTTTTCTTTGTAAAGATTTTTAAATATACCGGAAAGCCCATGTCAGTGAGCTGCTTGATGAGACGATTCATGATCCAAGCCTCATCTGGCTTGTTGCCCATCTTCCCCTGACAAAACACAAGCAAAATATTTTTAATTCATTCAACCACAATAAAGTTCTTTCAAATGACTCACAATTCAAGACATTAACATCTGCCACTAAATTTATGACATAAGTCAAGGGTGTTTTCTGACCTTGCTTGGGCCTTTCTTGGGTCCATTGCCCCAAGAGTTGCAGGAGGAGCTGCTCTCCTGGGAGGTGGGGCTGTTCCACATGTCCCCATCCTCAGTATCCCATTGGCTGGTAGACATGCCCATTTCCTCTCCTCCATTTCCCCAGCCCTCTTGCATAGGTTTAGGGCCTGAGAAACGGAAATTAACCACAGTTAAAAATATTATACACATAGTTTCAGTATGTTTGGTGTTTTGAAATGCACAAAAAATGCAATTCACTATTAAATGAGCAGCAGGTAATTTTCAACTTGACCACTTGGTGCCACTGTTGCCATTTGACACTGTGTTTTTCTCCCCACCAACACATCCCTCTGCAATATCCAACATTTCAAAGCAACAGTGCAAATAACCAAGACCCGCTGAGGTGTGGAATGACTTTAATCTCAGCCACACACTAGCACTATCAATGATCTTCAGAATTGGCACAAATGGTACAGGTCTGAAGAAAATCCCTGTTTTTGTCCCCATAACTGAAGGGCGTTGGTGCAAACACACTGGGAGTGATCATCAGTTGGTCTTTTACAGGAGTTGTTGTACCACTGGACACAATCTGAACCGCAGATGCCTACAGTAAAAATCATGCAAACAGGCTGAAGAAAAAAGGAACATTGTACCAATCTTCTAAATGCCAATTATCATAAAGAGACTTATTAACAGTGGAGCTTACAATTCGTGGCTATTATGTCGATTCTGAGGAATTCTCTTGTACAGCAGCAAATATAAAACCACAATAATCTGCTGTGTATGGCTATACTAGGGTAGTAAAGCAGCCAGGGGGGATGTGAGCCCAAAGGTGTGATCACCATTGAATGTTCCTGCATCTTGCTATGCGGGCCATGCCTTTATCCTATAGTTGACATGATGCATTGCTGTATCAGCATATATTTACTCATTTGTGGACATTACCTGGCTTACAGGGTGTAGAACCTGGGGGGGCGTTGGCCCTGCCATAGGGTCCAGAGGTCTCATGGCTGCCATCTCCCCAACCTCCTACTCCCCTTGTGGGTTTGCCCCAGGCAGAAGTACCATTGTCCACGGTTGATGTTGGAGCTGCTGGCTCTCCCCAAGCAGGCTCAGACTTGGGCTGAGCACTGGGAAGCTCTCCCCAACCTGAAAGAAAAAGGGTAAATTAGAAAAGAATATGATGAAATGACTCATGGTGCAGTAAAATCTATATCCACTTGCAGTCATCATTCCCCTTCCTTCTTTGAGAACTAAACATTTGAAAGATGTTCCTAAATTGTCTTCAAAATCTAAAAGTGGTCATGATGTTCTTTGAGTACAGAAGCAGTCTTCAGGTGTAGTATAAATGAAAAACAGCAGAGGGCAATGTTCTCACATTGAAAACTGGATGAGCGTGTATGGTATTGAAGCTCTGTCATGTCTATATGCATGGCTTTTGTCTCAACAAACACTTTTTCGAAAAGGCTGTAATGCTAAGTTGGGCTTGCTATAAAAATCTTAATAATGCATGCATTACACCAATACCTGTGAGACCATATGTTTAATAATCAAGGTATGATAATTATTTTGATGAATCACTAAAATGGAATAGGCATCATTGTCAACAATGCATTTAATTAGTAATTTAGTCACAATATGTGTGCATTATTTAAAACAATCCTTTCATAAGCTTTATCTATCTAAATTTTTATTTCAGAGATCAGCTCTAAAGCCTTTAATGCAATTAAATATGCATGCTATTCGAGAGCTGCCTGATACAGTGGGGTCCAGAAGAACCAATTTCCTTGACTTTAGAACCAGACTCCAGATATTGCATTGTACCAGTCTTTTAGCATTTTTATATCATCAAATTGTATTGTAATTACATACCTGGGTTGGCAAGTGGGGGTCTACCTTGGGGACCAGCACCTGGATGTGAGACGGCATTGTTGGGGGATCCATTGTTGTTTCCGTGATGTTGCAGGTGAGTTGGGGGCTGGCCATGATGGGAATGGTGGTGCATGTGGTGAGCATGATGGTGATTGTTGTTCCCAGGGCTGACAGAGTGATTGTTGTTATTGTTGGGCATAGTCATTCCACCATTCTTACTGGGAGTTGAGCCGCTGTTGCCTGGGTTATTATTGGGATTGTTGCGATCCCACATGTTGACAGACTTGTTGTAGGTACCGGGTTCGCCCCAGGTGGATGTTCCATCATCAATCTCCATCTTCCTACGGATAGATGGAGGGGAGGGCTCTAACCAGCCAGTAGTTTCCTTGCCGTGGTCCTGTTTGCTGACATTGCCCCAGCTAGAGGTGTTCTGTTTCACAGAACCAGGGCCACCCCAAGAACCAATGCTGCCTCCTCCTCCACTGCCAGTACTGCTGCTGCTGCTGCTTTCCTGGGGCTTGGAAGATCCCCAGCCACCCTGTACTGGGCCATTAGAACGTGGGTTCTCCCCCCAGCTGCTATTACTCGCAGCAGGAGCAGGCTTGCTCCACCCTCCTCCTCTATTTCCTCCTCTGGGACTTTCCTTCCATCCACCATTTCCTGCATTACCACCTTCTCCTTCCCACATGCTACTGGAGGAACTATTGTTCTTGACCTCTTTTTCGCCCCATTCTCCTGTGCTGGAGCCATTGGAACCACCATTACTGCTTCCCCATCCATGGGTATTTTTCGGGCCTTCACCCCAGCTAGTAGGCTGGCTTTTCATAGGGCCATCATCCCAACTGGGTGACTTCTCCTCAGAACCCCAGGATGTTGTGCCCCCACTTTTATGACCATTGGTGGGCAAAGGGTCTCCCCAGCTATTGCTAGTGCCATTTGGGGCTTTGCTAAGTGACTGTGGAGGTTCTCCCCATCCTGATCCAGTCTGGATTGGCTGAGGTGGAGGGGCTCCCCAACCAGAGGATGATGATTCTTCTTTTTCACGTTTTCCCCCAGACCCAGGCCGCTGACTGGAGCCGATGTTGGGGTTGATGGTACCTCCATTGATGGATGAAGGTCCACTGTTAGAGCTGGAGCCTCCTACAGAGCTGCTGTTGCTCTTATCATCATCAGAACTGGCTTCTTCCATCTCCCATACAGTATGCTGTCGAATGGGAGTCTGTCCCCAGCCCGTGTTGCTCAGCACCCTGGGGTCCAGGTCCTGTCGGGGTAACACAGGGGTAAACTCCATGCTAGAGGACCTGTCTCTATGCTGGGATCTACCTTCACTGCTGTCTCCACTACCTTCACTGGCCGGGGCTGTTCCAGGCTGCTGGCCCCATGAGCTAAGTTGCTGCTCTTGGCCTGAACCTGAACTACCAGCATCTACTGAGTCCCAGCCTTTAGATCCATCTCCACCCACAGCAGGTTTTCCCCAGTCACCCCAGCCACCACTTCCACTACTCCCTCCGCCACTGCCTTGGCGGCCCCAGGCAGAAAGGCCTCCGGAAGGATTTGAGTCCCAGCCTGATTCCTTGGGAGAGTCAGCAGACTTTGTTTCTCCACCACCCCATAAAGAAGTGCTTGTTGTGTCTCCATTGAGCTGGGATGATTCAGTAGGTGATTGGCCTCCCCAGCCAGTTAAGCCATGGATAGGGCTCATAGGCTCCTGAACTTGCTGCTGTTGCTTAGTGTGGTTTGGTCCATCAGTGTTAAGGTTTGCAGGTTCCATATTGAAGGACAAGCTTGTGTTACATGAAGGGCGTTGATCATTTTCATTGGGACTTATCATGCCAACCCAACCTCCCCCACCATTATCAGTACCTCCAAGGCTCCCATTTCCCATGTTTCCATTGCCATTAATACCTGGTGGGAGAGATGCAGAGTTAGAGACTCCATTGGGGCCACCACCCTCATGGCCCAGAACAGGCCAGGCTGATGGGTTGGCATTGGGATTGAGATTCAGGTTAAAATTGGGAGAGCCCCAGTTATTGGGTGCTCCTACTCGACCACCATTCATACTTTCTTGTTTCACATCAGAGCCCCAGCCTCTATTACCAGCTAGTGTGTTGGCTGACCCAGGTCCCGTCATCATATTATTGTTAGCTTTGAGAGAGGTGTAGTGGGCCTGCTGGCCTGCGGCACCTGTGGCCATACTCAGAAAACAGCTACTATTGGTGGTAGTGACAGCACTGGTGTCTAGGTTAGAGCCTGCTGAGCCTAAGGGGCATTCTGGTCCTGCAGAGTGGTTGGGGTCACTATTGTGGCTGATGGAGGGCCAAGCTTCCTTGTCACTTTCGTCAATAATCACTTTGTCCCAGCTGTTGGCATTGGTGGGGCTTTCAACTGACAAAGAGGTTCCCCAACGAGATGTCTCATACTGGGCACCAGGGCCACTCTGGAGGGATATGTCTAAAGAGAAAAAGAGAGGGAAAGGAAAGAGATGTTAAGAAAACTGAGAGCAGAAAAATACAACATAGAGGGTAGGTGGGTAGAGGATTCGAGCAACATTATATACAGAAATGTAAAAATTTAGAAAACCTTCATAGGAATACAGAGAACACAAACCAGTATGGAAAGGGTGGGTGGGTGGTTGGAGGGGTAGTAGAAAAATACTTTGTACAAGACTACATCATGTAATACAGCCCATGTTAGCCCTGTACAGACCACTTTTATCTTCTTGGTTGGTTTATGCTAGCAATCAGACTTGGCAGGTTGAGATGGTCACACTAGCAGGTTCCACAGTTCAATACAATCAGAATGCACAGCCAAGTGTGCTACATGTCATATCAGCTATGACATATCCATATATCCTTGACTTGGTGCAGTGAGCCAAACAGAAACAGGAAGAAGGACCCCTTTTTGCATTCTTACTCTTCTCCTCTCTTTCACCCTCTCACATAACTGTTGCTCGTGCTGTGTTGTTTTGCCCCTTACTTCCTGGTCACTCTCCAACTGCCCTTTTTATTATTATAACTACCTCCTCCCCTGCTCCCCCATCTCTCTCTCTCTGCCCATGCCTCCTCTCTCCCTCTCTATCCACACCCATTTCTTCCTCCTCCTCTCCCCTAATACCCTGCAGTGAGAGGCCCATCAGTCTCCATCGTGGCTTCACTGGCGGGGTCTGCGAAGGGAAGCCCAAGTGTAACGCCGCTCATTTATTGGAATGAAACCAGGATGGCTTCCCATCCATCACTCCCTACGCTCCGCCGGGCATACTCCTCCTTCAACTGCACTGAAACCACAAGACATTTCCTCGAAGCTTGTGTGTATGTGTGTGTGCAACGGCTTCTCTCTACATGCATATAGATAACACTGCATGTGTAGACTGCATGTAAATCTTGGTCTACTTCCTGCTGACTTAATGTATGATCTGCAAATTCAGTATGATGCTACCAAAAACAAGGCCACTCCAACAAATATTTAATCAACATTGTATCACACGAAAGCAATTTCATTAGGCACGAAAGCATCCCATCAGAGGGGGAACTAATAATAGACTGAGTCGATGCTGTAAAGGGGCATTCAATCAGTGGGAGGCAGCTAATCAATGATCTTATTAATGGTAGTGGATGAGAGCAGGGTGGCTATCGATCCAGCATGCAAACATCCTAACCTCTAGGCCAGCCTCATGTAATGGGCTAGAAAACCAATGAGAAGTACTGCTATGAATACCAACAGCACACGGCCAACTGAGCATGTGAGGGAAGAAAATTAATCCAGTAACTTCAGGCGAAGAAATGAAAATGAATGTGTGTATGAAATCAAAGTATGCAGATGAAAGCTTGATATTTATCTTGTTTTCCAAAATTCTCTTTCAAACTAAATGTTTTTCATGGAAATAAAAACACTCAATGTTTTCAATTAGGCAATAAAATAGGAAATAAAAACCAAGTCTGCAACTCCAGATCATATAAATAACAAATAGCCATTTTCAACATGCATTAAAGATGGACAATAATACATTTCTGGCTATCCTCCTGAGCAGCTGCAGCATGGTTTACCAACATTTAAAGAAAAAAACAAAGATGGAGGATGTGCTGGTAAAATATTTGCCTTGTTTGGTTATTAGGCTGCCGTACCTTTAATTACTTTGCCATTACCTTTCATCAGATTACCTCAGAGATTTCAATAATAGCCAGAAGTTGTCCATCATGAGATAAAGACCCTGTGGTCAAAGCAATTCAGTCAGATGAGGTTAACATCCATTTGATTGCAGTGTGTGGACACACACACATTCTGGCAGATATGTGGCTTCAAGATATTTTGCAATGTGCCACAGAGTGGCGGTGGATGCAATTTTCGCCTTAAAACACTTATCTCCCCTCCCCAAGTAGCCTTATCATACAGGGTTGTCAGACGGATGGCACACATACAAACACTAGTCTGCAGTCAATTTGCAATCAGTTGCACTCAAAAATTTTTTAAAACATCACAGTAAAAAAAATCCTTTACGATGGCTGTACTAGTGCCAATTCTTTTTAACTTAAGTTAGAAGTTGTTCAAACGTATAAACAAGCCAGATGTGAGCCTTCAATTGGAAATACTCTAATTGGACATTGTGTAATACTTTTGGAAGACATTCAAAAGACATCTGTGTGTCATAGCATACTGAGGGATGAGATGCATTGATTTTATCTTTGTATGCGGGACAGTTATGATTGTTAGATGTCACAATAAACACTCTTGTGTACACTAAAATGTATACCTTTGTCCTGAATCTGCATTTATCATATGTACAATTTTTTTTTAAATGTATCAAAAGTTCAAAGTAATTTTATTGTCCCAATCAGGGAAATTGTTTTGCAGCCAGGATCATACAAACAGGCCAAACACTAGTTGTAAAAACACACTCAAAACACATACACACTGGTGGACAACCAACAGAAACATCAGAACATGTAGTTTAAGTCTAAATAGAGTATATGAATATAGTCTCCCTGATTGCAACACTGAATGAGGTTTGAGTTCCATCACAGATGAATGTGTCAAGTGTCAGTGTTTCACCAAAAGCAAATTTTGCACCTTTTCATATCTACTAATAACAGTCAAATTGTAAACAAATAAATGAAACAAACCCTAAACTGCTGATCTTTTTGGTCAACAGTGCAAGCTTTAAGTGGCTTATTGGTGTTTTGTTGTAGAAATAAAGTGAAAAACATGATCACCATTGAAAGCCACTGGTGTTAGTGTCTTTGTGCTTTTTTCCATCTCTGTCTTTCTAATCAGATGGTATGCCATTTTATCAGATCAAGGAGCTCAGAGGCTGCAGCCCCAGGAACATTTTGTTTGGTTAACCCCCTTGTGTATCTTCCTCTCTCTTTGCCTCAGTCTCATTTGGACATGTTTGTTAAAGACTGTAAAAATAGGTTACATGGTTATCAGCCACATCATGACAGTGACACAATGAACAAACCAAAATTCAACAAAAATAAAAATTTATAAATTGGAATGGAGAAGACAACAGACAGACCCTTTTTTCTACTGCAGGCGAGAAAGAGAGGGAGAGAGAGTGGAAAAATACCTGCAGAAAGGTGCACCAGGCCACTCAGAGCGATTACACAGATCCATGCAAGGAAGTGAAACATTATATCCTCTTAGTATGTCTGCAATAAACTACCTTCTTCTGTGTGCAGGTATTTGTATAACTGTGTGTAACGGCAAATGTAAATAGCAAGCGCACATATCTTCCTCCATAAAAATGAAAAGTAAGCTCAAAAATAGGATCATTTATCAAAGGAATATAGTATTGGATTACAAGATACTGTATATGCATTAATCCCATTGTGCCTACCCTGGTAAATATGTACATTAGGAAAGTGTGGACTAATGCAGAACAGACTCTTTTCCTTTCACCTCAACATGCCTCCATTGTTCCCCTTTCAACTCCCTCTACCGACATTCCAACAGAAAGGGAAAGGTCTTGCTGATTCTTGGCAGAGCCATAATTTGGCAGGCGATGGAGACGAAAGTCGGCTGAACATAAAAAACAAAGGAAAGGAGGACAATCATTTCCATCCACTGTTTGCAGTCGTGTGTCAGTAATGCGTTGCTGTTTTCATTCTGGTCGCAATTAGGAGGGCAGTCTCTAATAATGCTTTGTGAATGAAAAGGGTAAAAAAATATAAAACCAAGGGCCCCACGATGGCTCTTTGTGCTTCCGAGTGGAAGTGGGGCTGCGTTTTTGTGTGCATGTATGTGCAAGCCAGTGCAAGAAGGTAAAGACCTGATTTCTCCACAGAACCTGGACGACAACAACTAAGTAATACCAAACATTTCCTGATGACACTAACAGCACTTTTGCTATGAGTTTAATTAAACAACAGCAACACACTGAATCTGTGTCAAGCCAGCTTGCCAGAGTTGAAGCAGAAAAAAGCTGGAGATGAGCTGATAATGAGGCGAGCTGCCATCATAGAAATGGGCAGGTAGCCAAGAATTAAATATCTTCCCTCCCCTTTGAATGAAATGAAAGGCAGGGAGACAGAATAAGAGAAGGAGATGGTGGTAGGGAGGGATAGAAGAAAGTCTGGGGGAAGGGCTAGCACTCGCAGGGACAACGGAAAAGAAAGGGGGACAATGAGAAAGAAATGTTAACAGATTCTTTAGTTTGACCGCGAGTCACAGACTTGGCTTTTTCAGAGCAAACTGTGGGGGGAATAACAGAACCAGAACAGGAGGGGGCGTTTAGTAGTCTTTTGTCACCAAATAATGCGTCTCCATCTCTCTGTGAGGGGAGCTTTAAGCCCACTTACATCAAAGACAGCATGTACTTGTTTTTCCTGGAAGCATGGCGAATAAGAAAGAGTGAGGGACTGGTCACAGGAGGATTTACTGAGCTCATCACTCATGTCTGTTTACCTCTGCTGAGGGAAATGAGAAAAATAGGAGAGCGAGACCATGGTGACTTCTCTGGTTTCTCAGACAGAGCCTGGATTAATGACGCCACTAGGGGCTTCTCTCACTTGTGTGCGTATGTGTCATAGCCTGAGCACATGGGGCAATCTATACCTTCCTGGGTTCATTACAGCAAAATAGTACTGTGATTATTCTAGGATTTTAAACATTGCAAATACCCAAGATCTAAGTGGTAGTTATCTTTACATGTTTAGGAAACTGTGTTTGAAGATGCGGACTGACTTTTTCAAAAGTTAAAAAGTGTTACTTTAGGAACTCACCACTTATTAACCAACCAACAACATATTATAAACACCTTAGATACTGCCTAACTCCTCTTACTGGAAGCCACACGCTGTTCTTCATCCATAAGCAGCATTTTAACTTAAGTAAGAAATGCTCAAAAATTCAGCCGCTTTACCTGAACATCAAAAAGGGCTCAAATGAAAGGGCTAAGTGTTTCACAGCACCCAGCAGAGTGCCTTCTGGCTACATAGTCTATCTGGGTGACCAGCAAACAGCTGTTGGCATGCAGTTCCCACAGTCTTAAGAGACCCCCACTCCAACACCTGCTACTAGGGGAGTCTGTCTGGACGGCTGCTGGCTTCTCTCTGCACTATTTAATGGTCCCCCGTCAGCTGGGGAGACGGGGGTGGTGGATGTAAAAGAGGGAGGGAGGGAGAGAAGACAGGGATTTCTGTCTGGTGTTCGAGACAATTAAATGGGGCTGGTAGAGTGAAGGTTATGTGGGAGTGGCGTGAATGCCCTTGAATATAGAGGGACTTGCCTTTCAGACTTTGGGGAAGGGGTGGTGTGTGTGTGTGTCCATGTTGGAATGTTTTACATAAAACACACTTTGAACAAATTTTATATTAACCAAAAAATGGGTAAAAAATGCATTTAACCACCTTAGGACATCCTGCTGGCTTATAAAACAACTTGTGCATTTCTTATGTGTGTGTGTGTGCGTGTGTGTGTGTGTTGTGCGTGCACACAAACTATGAGCCAGCTGGCCTGCAAGGCAGACACATCTGAGAGGACACAACTAGGTCAGTGTTTTGATGCTGCACAGCTACTGCATCTATGCACATGTGTTTGTGTTTGCATGTGCACAAATGCAAGTGTTTGAGTATCTGACGGAAGGAACTATCTCATCACATCGCTCTGGGCCACAGTAACCTCACCAGAGAGTTCAGAGATGTGTCCTCAAAACAGAGTTCCTCCCTCCCTTACAATTACACTGAGGAGTTAACTTTGTCTCAGTAATTGCAGGCAGTGACCAAAACATTACACGGTGTATGTAAACATGATTTTGATAAAATATTTGGATTTGTTGGTTTGTTGATATGTTAAAGTGAGCTCAAAACAGTGTTGTAAATGTGTAGTTTGACAAAAGGGGAGGTTTAAATGAATACTGCTACTTCATACACAACTACTGCAGCTGGAATGGTTACATATGAAATTTTAAGTTGTTTCTCAAGGTCTCAAAGTTATAATAAGCGTAAATAAAGCAAGAAGACTGCAGAGCAGTAGGTTTAACTAGTGTCCACTCTTTAAATTATGTATGCCAGAATCACTGCAACAACAGGACCACTAGCTTGAGGCTATTAGCTGAGCAGGCAGGGAAGAACAGACAGTCGATGGGAGGCCCTCAGGACACAAACAAGAGGGAAAGGAGGTAGAAACCCAGCCAATGGCTATTCTGCCAAAGGCTGTGTTCAACCGAAGGGCCCCTGAGAAAACTAGGGTGAGGTAAAGACCAAACATGACAACAACTGCCAGACTAGGACAATAATAAGGACACTGCAGGTTAATTACACCCAACAGGGATCTTAAGTGGTCTGGAGACCAAAAGTGAAACACGCTCTTTTAAGTTTAACACTTGGATATATTGCTTCGTTAAGCCTGAAGCCAAATTTAGATCCTGGACCATAGTTGAAGAAACCATGCACAACACAGCCGAGAATATCCACAGAGAAATGTCATGATAAAAAACACAGATGTTTCAGTTTCTGAGCTATTAATGAAAAAAAAAAAGAAATGGCATTGATTATAGGTGCTCAAAAACAGTTTGAAATGCTGAAAGAAAAGGCTAATTCACAACATTTACCATTGATTAACTAACTGCACAGAAACACAGCTTTAAAAGCCTCATAAAGCTAGTGTGCTAGTATATGGGACAACTTGCAACTTTTCTTTGATACTGTGTTTGGCTAGAACTTGCAAGGACCAGTTGCCTCTGTAAAGGGCTATTTGCCAACTATCAAGCCATGCACTACAGCTGCTGCAGATTTGTTTACAGAGAGCCCAACAACAGCAAATGTTGAGGGAATAATGAAAGGCAGCACAGCGCAGAAAAGGAGCATTGATGAACAAGAGGAAAGAGAGAAAAAAGCAGAAGAGAAAGATGCGAGTAGATGCTCATGCTAGCTCCTGCTCAAAGCCTTAAATATGAAAACACTGCGTGGTGTGCTACAGAGATAATCCCTGCATCCATGTCTTCAAAGTTACAGTGCGACATGTTAGAGGATATGAGGTGACACCATCTTTTGTGTCTATGTACCATCATTAAGCAGATAAAAATAATGCTTGACAGGCAAAAAATAAAATTTAAACCCTTTTGGAAATGATGAGGAAAATATGACGAAAATCAAAAAATCTTTAGTGGGCACATGAAATGATATCAGTAACTTATGGCCACCCGTTTATCAACACATTACTTGTATACATGTGCACACAAGCCAACACACTGAACATCAGAAGGCAGGCTCAGCAAGTGTGCTATAGATTGTGAGTCAAGAAAAAGAGTATGTAGTGTGCATTTGTCATCCTTCATTTGTCTCACAAAATTTTAAGAAATCTTACTGAAATTACTGCTTATGAAGGAGAATGTCGGATTTAAAGGACAATTTATGTCACACAAAGTGTCATTTCACTAGAAATGCAGCCAAAATAGAGCCAACATGCACTTTTAAAGTAAAATAAACTAATTTATGAAATAGTAAAATGTGCACACATCCACCACCTAAAGCTCTTATCTAAAATAAAGAAGATCAGACCTCCATTCAATTCATTATTAATACTATACTGACACAAACCTGGGTGGCGTTTGCCCGCAGTGGACGTGGCAGAGTTTGGGGTAGTGCTGCTTGTACTCGTAGAAGAGGAGTAAGATGAGGAGGTGGAAGAGGAGGAGAGGGTCAGAGCGCTGAGGGCTCCTGCAGGCAGTGGCTGACCTCTCTTCAGTAGCTGCTTGTGCTCCTGCTGGCGGAAGCGCGGGGGCACCTCTCTGGGCGGGTAGCGAGCACTGGCAGAGGACAACTGGCACTGCTGCTGAGGGGGAGTCTGAGTCGGGAGCTGGCTACTGGAGGAGGTGTGCTTGCCATTGCCAGAAGAAGAAGAGGAGGAGGAGGAGAGGGGCAGCGTGAGGCTGGCAGGGTGGAGGTGGTGGGGTTGGCCGGGGCTGGGCTTAGTGGGAGCAGGCTCTGGCACTGGATGGATACAATACACAGGCACACAAGCATACACACACACACAAGAAGACACATGCAGGTCTGCGTTAACTCACTATTAGTAATTTATTTAACAGAAAGGATTTGTCAAGTAGTGATAGCATAGAGAGTATCAATCCTATCAAGTTATCTTCTTGCTGTAAGAACAGTTAATGATATTGAAAGTCCTATTTATGGGGAAGATCTTTAAAGAACGAGTGACAGACGTGCTTTTCTTTCAACGCAGGTTCATTCAGTCTCTCAGTTGTAATATTTTGGGTACTGTGTTTTCAGTTTCGTAAAGGATTTCCTTGAATTGTCCTTTGCCTCTGCACTGCGTTGTGATGTGGACTATCCCTTTAAGTAAACTGCTTCATGCAGCCTGTTGTTGAACATATGTTGCTGCCTCAGACACACTCGATGAAAAGGTCATATTTTTTCTGCTGACTGAACACACACACACAAACACATGAAGACACCTCCTTTCCTCTTCATTACACTCTTTCCTCTCGCTCCTTTTCACACACATGCTCACACTCATGTGTGCACACATACACACATACACACACACATTGTTATGAAGTCACTTTCGGGACGATACATAGATTTGCCATTGTCTCCTAAAAATGCAGAACGTTCTCTTATTTAACAGGCATTTAGTCTGAAATTTGTCCCCAGTGGTATAACCAGTGACACACACACATATACCCAAAGGCACAACCCTTTCTCTGCTGCCTTGGCCTGACCCTTCCCATTTGGTAGAAGTGACCAGCCAGTCGTCTTATTGAGCATTAGCTTGGAAGGCGTTAAAATTAGCAGAACCTGGACAGCTATCAACCAAACAGATTGGCCTGACTGGGGTTTCCTCTCAAAGGTGCTGACTGACCCAAATACATGGAGTGAGGAAGCTGAGTCTGTGGCTGTATGGACCTACGAGATAAGGGAAAGTGAAGTAGGTACAGTATAGCATTGCTCTACTTGAGAGTTCCCTACTTCACAGACGTAGCTGCTTTCATAGTGGCTGCTAATAGCTAGAAACCTAGAGAGCTCCTGTGAATTTCAGTTTGTTGGTCCAGGGTAAATGTATGATGAATAGTTGATCTTGTTTTCTGCTGTCTGTGGACAGATACAACCATTCCACACAACAGCTGAGACTGCTTTCACTCAAGGGAGCAGAGACACACAGGGACAGGGGTAGTTTTGTTGCATCAATTGGTACGAGGAGGATGCTTTTTGAATGAAATGGGATAGAAATAATTTAATTAAAGCTTCAGTCTGTCCAGTATGAAAGTCTGAACTACGCCCACAGCAGCCCTGTACTGCAGTACTGGCTATGAACCACTGAGTGACACACAGGCAAATGCTGCCACAGTGGAGGTTAAAATAAATTCAGAGCGCAGAGGTATTCACTTTGCCTGCCAAGAGCCTGTCTAAGAGCACGGCGCAAAACAGAGGCCCTCTCAGTGAGCACAACTCCAATCCAGATGGCTGCCTCACTGCTGACACACAGTAAGAGCACTGACATGCAGGAAACTTGAAATTACAAGAACACCAACAAATTCAAAGCACAACAACTCTGCACATAGAGAGCAGTGTAAGTATACGTGATTGGATGCAAAACATTTTGTTTTCATTCATCTATTGGCCTCGTTCTCGGACACGTGCCTCTTGCATCTTTGTCAAAAACATAAGAATGCAACGCACACACATTTTCACAGTGGTTTGCACCCCCCTTCCGCCAATGAGACTGTAGTTGAACACATGCAGAGGGAGGGAGGGAGGAAGGGAGAACGAGCCAGCCCCCCTCCAGCATTATCTGACTGGCTGTTGGCTTGGAACTGCAGCTGGTGACGCACATTTCTGATTAAATTCAGCTCGGCCCGCCTGACGCTGCCTCTGCAAATCAGATACCAAGAAGGTACACACACACTGCCCCCCCATCCTGTCTCTCCTCCCCTGTCTGTTTCTAATCACTACCCCTCTTTCTCTGTCTGCCCATCAGTGGGTTGCTGCCCAACACCCCCCCCCTTTCTTTTTTAGGTGTCTACCTGTCTTTCAGCCTGGTGTTGCCTGCTTGCCATGTGTTATTCTCCCTCTGGGCCTATATCCATACTGATCCCCCATCTCTTGTGTTTCTGTCTCTTTTCTCCCCTCATCTTGTTTCTGTCTCCTTACCTTTCCATCTCAACGTTTCAAAACCTCTATCTATAACCTCCAGCTGACATCTTTCTCTCCCTCTCTTCTCTATTTTCCATTTCTTCCGTCTATTCAGACTCCAAAAAAATTTTCTTCTGTGCTCTTTGCTGCATCTTTCTCTCCCCCCTTGCTGCAAGGTGGTAACATAGACTGTTTTACCTTCAAAAGAGTGCAGAAAGTTTAACCTTAGTTTTTGTTCTTGTTTTGGACTCTATGTTATATCTAATGTTACTAATTGTTTTAGTATGGTTTTGTACAAACCACAAAAAAGAAACCTTTAGCAGGTGATCTACTTTAAAGATGGGCATTTTGGTTTTCTGCTTCATTCAATTTCCTTCACAATTACACATCTTCTGTCTGACTAAGCTGCAAAACATTTTGCCTTCTGCCTCTCAAATACACAAATCTGCTGACGTATTTTTGTGTGTCGGCATGAGCGAAAGAGGGGTAGAGACGAGTCAGGAGAGTCTGAATGAATCTCGTGCAGCTTCACTTTGAAGAAAGATTTTCCCAATTTCAGGAAAGTATCGATCATTATGTGGTGATCAGTGTTGTGCTTATATCTATTTGACTGCGTTCAAACCTGTACTTGAGATTGGATCACAAAAAACACATGTTAATACCAGGTGTGTACAGGCCCTTCAAGGTTCAGTGTGAAGAATTTACTGAAATCTAGTGGTGAAGTTGGATGTTGCAGCTGAACACCCCTCACCTTACCCTCCCCTTCCAGACATGAAAGAGAACCTATGGTAGCCTGCAGTTGTCATAAAAACTCAAAAAGCGCTTTGTCTATTTCAGACTACTGTAAAAAACATGGCAGCCTCCATAGAGAGGAAGATGTAAGTATAAAGTATTCAAATATAAAGGGCCCATTCAAGGGTAAAGAAAAGAACAATTTGTACAATTTAGATTATTACACACTAGTTGAAACATAACTAGGATTTTTTTATATTCAATTTCTGCCAATAAATCTCTTTCATCTAAATCTTACACACTGGACCTATAAGGATCCTGAGACGTTTTATTTCCCTGGTAAGTTTAGTCAGTCAGCTCACTGACTAACCCATAAGACGCAACCCCTTTAGGTCAAGCATTTCTCCTGCACACCCTGCTTCACACACACTGCGTTTGTGTTGCTGTATTAAAAATGTTGTATTTATGCTGCAAACCTCTTATCACACGTCCATATCCAATTTCCTCCACACAAGCATGATGGGTTTATAACAAAACTGTCAAACACCTGTTTAGTTATTTTATTTGTTTGTGAATAAGCTAAATTGATCTCTCATTTGTCAAAAAAGGTGCTTCTATAACAGCTGGATAATGTGTAGCCATCTTTGGTGTAATATGTATTTAACAAGTCTGAATCTGAATTAATGTGCTTTTGAGAGAGAGTGTGTGTGTCTGTGCAAGCGGACGACTGGAAAGAGACAGCAGAAATCTGAGCGCAAACAAGAAAAATGGTACACCAGAGAGAAACGGTCCCATTTTGCTGTGAACAAACAAATATATGAAGTGAGATACATCTTTCACTTTGAGGGGGAAAGATTTTTTCTTAATCCATGATGCCCAGTGCTACCAAGTTCATCATCAACACGAGCTGAGCAAAACTTCTGTTTCTTTGACTATGAACTGTCCAACAACAACAACAATAGCAATAAAAACTTGTATATATTACCTTGATAAGACACTGTTGCCCGATGCAAGAGACATAGCAATGGTAAAGTAAACCAGATGAAAATAATCTCTTAACCATGTGGTAAATTTAGCAATACTTAAGAGAGAGTAGTGTTTGTGAAACTTGAAGTATCTAGTAGTGACCTTGGTGCCTCTTACTGAAGTAGAAATGGAGAGCCAATTAAAAAAGCATTTGTATCAAGCGCACTGTAAATTCTATTAAACCCTCCAGCTGAGGCACTCTCTGCAACCTTGCACCAAACTTTTAATTACAGCCTGTCCTCCCACTAAATGGTTAATTACATACAATGAGAGAGATCAGGAGAAAGAGCAATAGCTTAAGAATAGAGAACAAATGAGCATTGAAGAGGAAAAAAACACACACAAGGCAGAGATGAAGACATAAAGGAGCCAAATAGAAAGTTTAAACTCCAAGAATACATCATGGGCAAGAGGGAATGCGGTATCTGTTATTGTAAAGAACAACTGTGATTGGTTCCCTGAGCCTAGTGCCAGGCAGCGCAGGTTCCCACATCTCTTCTGTCTATTGTCTGCAGATCCACTTTATTATGCAGCCATGTTTACAGAGAGGGGAGGGATGGACACAACAGGGGCCTATATGCCCACCACAATGGGGCATGGAAGGTGAATGCAGAATGTTTTAAAGTGGGTTTGGTCTGTCTACTACAATTTTATAAATGCTACTTATTCAAGTGCTTTTCTGTGTACGATTGATTGCATCACTACTTCCATTTTAAAACAGAAAAGAAGCATGTACCATACTGAAAGTAATGGAATAATTCAGACAAAGGATCAAAACAACATGAAAACAGACGCACTTACACTGTAGATCGTTTAACTAGGTGTATTAACTGAGTCCTTTTATATCTCACACGTATTAATTGAAGCCTATAGCAAGTGTTATAAGTGGCCGATGTTTGAACTAAACATAGAAATGAGACTTTGTTGTTTTGGTATCCGTAACCAAGAGGACCCATAAGCAATATACATGCATGTGTTTATGCGAACAAGAGAGGGTCAAGTGGGTGCGTCTCCATGAGGTCCCATCTGTCAGTATTAGTGGAGAAAAACAGAAACTCCCTCACTCGCACACAAAATAAAAGGCTAAAATTTCTCACCCCTCACCCTTCCTATACAGGGACGTTGCTATAGAGACTGACAGTTGCTTAACGCACCTCCATTCGCCTCTTGTGACCGCCTGTGCCTCCTGTGACCTCTTCCCATAGCACGCCTCTTTAACCCTCTCTCTCTAATTAGTGCCCCCACCCCCCTCTCCATGTCAGGCTCCCCGTTTTTCTGTCTGAAGTCACAGTTGCTCATCTCAACTATGTCTGTGTGGATTATGACAGAGTTGCACCAAGAAACCATTTTTTTCTGAAGTCTATGGATAAAGTGACTTCAAAGGATAGTGCAACACATACATCTGAGGTCAGAGGCTGAAGACAACAACGGCCTGAAGATAAATACTGTACCTTTTGAAATTGACAAATTGTGTAGCATTAAGCAAAGCATCTCAAACTTTTGAAGGCTGGCATCCAAATAATAAAGTGGACAATGTCATTAGAGCATATGGAAACAATTGGATATCAAACACTCCAAGTTATCATCAACTGAAACTACATATAACAGAACAATTTAATTAAGATAATTTAATGGAAGAATAAAAAGGTGTATGGAGCATTTATCTTATCTTCTCTATGGCGTAACTGCTATTTGACAATGGCCTGAGGGATGAGGGAGAACATCCCCTTATGCATTCATATAGGCATGGCCATTAAACCTTTTTATTCATATATATCCAGCCACGTTGCCCTGAAATCACAGACTGAAGCATCATTCATATCAGTCGAGCTACATCCTATTAATCTGCCTGATATTTGACACGTAGCAGCTCACTGCTGGGGGATGAGAAGATGACGGGGGAGGGGAAGGGGCCACTGAATATGCTCTCTTGTCAGCAGCTCATGAGTGATCATACAACAGAGGGGAAAGCATTGTTTAAGTTTGTTTCCTTTCTCTCTCTGTCCCCCCATCACATATTCAGTCTCTCCATCCATCCATCCCTATCTCTCCTCCAGCACTTGACATGCACATGGGGCAAGCACACAGGAGGTAGAGGAAAAACAATTATGCTCTGCAGTCATAAATCCACAGGACGTAACTCACAAGCTCTTCACTATTAATTCATTAAGTGTTTAAATGTGGTTAACATAAGAGAAGCAGACCACACGCTGAAGGAAATTAGTCTCTAATTATATTTTGATTCATGAAATCCCTTTTCAAAAATGTTGACGCAATTAATAACATGTGAAATTTCAGAATAATCCAATACAAAATTAGAGGACGCACTCGTGTTTGTCTCTTGGCAGATTGACAGACATAATGCTGTTATCGCCGTAGTAACACTGTGTAAATACATCTCTCTTCAGGTGCAGTCGAGCACATTGAGGGTGAAATGAAAAGGGCAGAGGAAACAGCGTGGGTAAGGAGGAAAATAAGGCACAAGGCAGTGATATGCATTACTTTAAAATCTTGTGTGCATGAACAGCACAAATGAAGACTGCAAATTTACTGATGATTGGGTGTGTGAATGACGCTTTGTGGTATTTTTGTGCCTGTAGCTACCTGCTTCAAGCAATGCATTTATGCAACATCCTGTTTTGGCAACATTTTCTCATAGCTTCAATAATAATTGTGTATTTGTGTGTTTATGCAAGCATATTCTGAGAGACATCATGGCTGAAATATTACTGCCTTGGTTGTTTAGCAACCCCACAGTAAGTGATTTGATTTGATTCAGATATTGAGAAAGAATTGAAAGGTTCCTAGTCACTGTAGAAATGTGTCTATATCGTTTTAACATAACTAAATTATGTAGCAGCTTTACCAATATGGGCACTTTTCATGCATTCCTCTTTGTGTGTGAGTGTGTGTGTGTGTGTTTTTGCCAAGACCATTAAATATGTGTAGCAGTCAAATGACCTGATTTTGATTGCAGTGGCAGTAGAGATTGTGATGAAGCAGCATGTGTGCTGGAGGTGAATAATCAACATCCCTCTGAGGTAATGGGGACCAGGAGGGAGGGTCCTGCATCAGAGGTCCAGTCTGAGTGCAGGTGGGGGAGGTGGGTTAGGGCAGCGGGACATTGCCTCCTGGAACCCTACGATTGCAGAAGCTCCTAGCCTAATGGGGGGCAGAGGAGTTAATTCCACTGCGCCAAAGCTTTATCTCATTTTCATACATATGAACGCGCCGGGCTGAGATCGATTACCGCAAACAAATTGAAATGCCTGGGACCAAGGAGGCCCACGGAGAGAGAAAAGCAGAAAAAGACAGCAAAGGATGGGGGGAGGTGGTATGCATGTGTATGTGTCTATGAATTTCTGAGAGTGTATAAGGAAGGCAGAATTCACTGATATGGATGGAAAGCCACAAATCACTACTGCATACTGATTTTCTCCCATCCTGCATACACACACACTTCTATTATTTAGTGTCACGCATGAAAACTCAACTCATTCCAGTTCATGCTACTTTCCTTTTAAAAAGATATTGCAGATGGGAAATTTTGAGGAAACAGACGTCCTGATGGCTCGCTGAACGATTAGTCTTCAAACAAGTCCTCTTTCCCTGTACTTTCTTCACATTTCTGTCTGTATGAGTACCTACTACAGACACACAAAATCAGGTTCTTGTTCTGTGTCCACAATTCTCTCTATCTTTCATTAAACATAACATAAAATAAATGTCCATGTCATTGGTCCTCTTCTATATTAGCACTGTCATTGACTACCAATGGTCAATTTTGGTACACATCTAAAGTGTTTTCTGCTTCATTACTTTTTTTTATCCTTTTCCTTACTTCATTCTTGCTTTTATCTAGCCCCAGACGAATGCCTTTACACATTCTCTTTCCTTCCATCTCCCATTCTTAGTAGACTTTATGATATTCCCTCACTGACTTTTAGCATTTCCTTTACTGCGCCTGCCAGTAACACTTGGTGCAGCCCACACACACACGTCATACAGTGCAGTCAGAAAGTAAAAGGGCTGTGATTCTGTTGTCATTGTTTTGGCTCAAATCTGGCACACTGGATTAGAAATGAAACAATGACAATGTGAATTTAAGCATTTTGCAAAAAGGGCCTAAATTTAAACATTTTTAAATGTAGATGGACAAATCATAAATGAATACAAACACATCACAAGACCTAAATGCAATCCAAATAACAAGCCCCTGAAACAAGCATTGTTGTGAAGTACAGGTCAGTCAAGAGCATAACCGGGGAAGATGTGAAATGTCTGTACTTAAGTATAGTAAGTAACTTGTTCAGTTACTTATCCACAGTGCATTTTTTGTTATAAAATATAAAAAGCTCAGGTTACAGGTACAGTTACTGACAGTCAGCATTTAACTTGCACTTGATTTGTTTCAAATCTTTTCTTTTGCAGTACAAAAATGTGCCACAATCAAGAGACAGAACTGCACAGAAAAAGTGCTACAAAATAATTTTTTCAGTCAACCAATCTATCTCAACAGAGTAATCATGCCCGGAAACCGCTTTATGTAAATAATGGAACCTTCGCAGCAAAGTATAAAATCTGTTTGTTCTCGCTTAGTGTTTCTGTTGCTTAAGCAGTCTTTGTTTATAGATAATTTAATTATGCACATACAGATGTCATCAAATTTGGATTTAATTCCAATAAAGAACGGATGAGTCAGAAATGCATTTTTATTCATAAACCCTACTGCAAGAAAAGTGCCATTTAATGTTTATTCAAATTAGTAGCAGTGAGCTTTGAAACTGAAACAGTACAAGCTCATGGACAAGGCAATGAAACCCAGGGAGGGTAATTAAATAAGCTGGTCAGAGTTCACGGCAAGCTGTGGTAACCTTTGTTAAAGCCCTACACTTACACCCAGATGGCCAAGCTGCTGCTCAAAGTGGGGGAGGATGGGCACGTAAAGACAGACACTGCAGCTCAAATGCTGTGCTCTGATCACACCACAAAAACAATTTCTAAATTCTGAATTAATTACATCACCTCCTACTGTAAATGCAAGACTCACACAAGAGAGGGTACCAGGTGAAAAGAAAACAAGCTAGGATGATATTTGAGACAAATAGCACTAGCTAAGAGAGTAGACATTACACAGGACAAAGACGAAAGTGCCAAAGATGAAGGGGATAGAGATGCTTAGCACACGGTTCACTTGCTAATGTTGTCATTCATATATGTGTGTATATATATCAATACCAAACCTAACTGAAGGGTCTAAAGCTATTCATAAAGCAAAAGTAGACAAATCAAAGGACCAAACAGATGTTTATACCTCTCATGTTTCAGCAATTCAGATATTTAATTGAAGCACAGCTGGGAGAACAGCTGAATCACTACGTAATTCATTAATGTCTTGCTATGAAAACTAATTTTCTTGCAAAACACTCACAAAATACATTTTAGCTTCTAAAGAAAGAACCAAGGGCACATGAGGACACTTTTTCCCTGTGCCAGTCTCTGCAATTCAGCTGAACTCCATGCTCTCTTTTTATTCCACTTCTTCTCTCCCTCCCTTCCCCCCCATCCTCACCATCCTCCCATCCCCCTACCAACACCACACTCAGGGTGCTGTCTGGGTGCCCTTACGCTTCACTGCCTAGTGCTGCGGGCGTACTCACTCCACATCATTGTCACACTCTGTATTCGCTCTGCTACGGTGTGTGCGTGTGTGTGTGGGTCCATGCGTCTGAGAAACTGAGTTAAAAGGCACAATTGTGCATGCATGTGTAAACTGTGTGTGGTCATTTGAGTACAAGAACGCTAAATTATATGAGTGTATAATGCATGAATAATATGATAACAGATGTGATTAATGTATATCAGTTGGTTGGAGGTTGATGTAAGGGTAAAGAGAACTTGATCATGACACTCACCTTTGGGTTTCTGATCAGCAGCCTGCAGAAGGGAAAAGAGAGACACAGTTTGATACTGAATACTCCCAGGATGATGTTTAACAATCATCAAAACCATAAACAAATCAGAAGTGTTATGACGAACCCTAGAGCTTATTCATTTATAGCTAGAGTGTCAGTACAGTGATTCAAGCCATTTTGCTGCTGAATGAACTGAAGAAGTTAGTGTCAGTGAGTGTTTGTTTACTAGAAACTTGCAGACCAACTTCCAACAACTCAGCCATAGATATTTATTTCATGAAAAAAAAAAGATAAGATACTACTGAAGGTCTAAAAAAAAGCAAACACATACAAGTACCTGCTAGCCTCAGAAACTATTTACAAGCTATTGACAAGTGTGTATATTTGTGAACATGTGCATGATTTTAACATTTACCTTTTTCTGAGCGGTGTCCTTCTTGGTCTTTTCTTCTTGTTTTTTCTTTTTCTTTTCTTCCATCAAATGGTTCTCTTTCTTCTGTCGCTAGCTTCTCTCAGCTGCCCAACAAAAAAGGGAAAGCGTAATGAGTAAAACATAAAGGATTCAGCTCTGATGCTTAGTGTCGTCCATCTTTTCATTATTAAACTATGTAACCCCATGTGCATCACACACTGTGCACATTTAAGGCATTCAAGCACAGTCACATTGCGATAGTCAGATTCCACACACACAAAACGCACATTTTCATCCCCTTCCCTTTGATGCATAAGTGAGACAGAGCCAAAGTGTCTGGAAAAACTTATCCATCCACAATCATCACTTCATGCAAAAATCATGGCAGGCACTTCTGAGGAGCACTTTCCCTCATGGTCAAAAACTGTAATGAAGAAGATGGAAAAAGGGGGAGGAGAGGGGTACAAAAAAGGAAAATGAAAAGAAGTTGGAGAGAGGGATAAAGAGAGTGAACAGTATGAATGAAGGCCAGTGTAAAAATGGGGCTGGTTTAAAGATCATGCTTGTTTCGAGAAAACAAAAAAAGGCATGGGATTAAACGGACTGAAAGTGAGACTATGTAAAGGCCAACAGATTGACAAAATAAGACAAGGTATTTTTACAAAGATATGTTCAGAGAGTGTGAGTCAATCTAGCTAGATATCTAGCTGGAGGAAAGGAAAGGGCCGGGGAAGCTAAGTGCTTCATTTCAGCAAGTTTCCTTTGGCTTGGCCTCAGTGACAGCCCCTGGAAACTAGTAGAGGCCACAGGGACTGAATGTGTGTTTAGTCCCAGGGTTTTCCTGCAGAGAATTGCGAGGCAGACACCTCCGTCAAATTTCGTGCCGCCTCTGCCTCTTGACAAAATTCTGGTACAGTGGAAATTGCTTATAGTGATCATGTTTGTCCTGGGCCAAATTCATCACTATAAGCAGTTGAATATTATTTTAAAAATGCACCGCTTCTGTGAAGCCCTAATGCTATTCATGTTTCGTGTCCCTGACAAATAAAGCATAACATACAAAATGTGTCCACACATGGCCTGGATTCTAATCAGAATGTATAAAAGAATCATAATTCTCATGACAGAGAATGAAAGGTTGGCCTCTCACTGTGCTGCCCACTAGCAGGGGGAGGGCGCTGTCAATCAAACAGACAGCAGTCTTCACAGAGACTGACTGATGATGGGGTAATGTCTCTTTAGTAGTAAGGAAGAGAAAGAAAGAGAGTGAAGTTACAGAGACATACAGATGGAGAGAGAAAGAAAGTGAATAGTGAGTTTAGAGACAAACCCTCGGGAAGATTGACAAACTAATGGCCATGACAGTAGTTTCAAATGTAAACTGATATCCCTGGATTACCTTGTCCCACTGCAGCTGGATTTTCTCTTCCTAATTCCCTGTTTCTCCTTTCACTGCTGCCACATGCTCTTTTTCTTGAACAGTCACACAGTCCTATTTTTCAAACCGAGTAGTCTGTGTGTTTCATTGTGCCGTCTCAGCAGCAAGGGGAGGGAAGCCCTCAGGTAATAAACCTTAATTCATGTGTGGATGCGGGTACGTGCATATGGCTAATTTTGTGCTGTATGTGTAGTATGTTTTGCTGTTCATTTCTCTGTCACGATCCTCTTTAACTAAACTTCTGCCTCCAATCTGACACCCCCCTTTATCAAATTCCAAGCGTGCCATCAGAAACGCAAACAACTTGCTAACCGATGACGACAAGCACCAGCAATGGGCAAATGGTGACATGTGAAAATGAGAGTGCAAAGGGATACAAATGGTTTCACTCACTGTCCTAGTTTTCTATCCCTTAACTCAGCAAGTTACAGAGCCTCTGCACCACAGTTGACTAGGTCATTCTGGTATTCTCACCTTTTAGCCCCTACATGAATGTGGATCTGCTCTATCTGGTTACTACTGCAGTCGTCACAGACAACAAGAAATAATGGGGGGAAAATGGGTCAAAGGTTACAAATACTACTAATTTTCCTATGTGTCAATACACTATAGTTGGCTTAATTTGAAATTATTTTTAATCATTATTTACTATAATGTCATCCTGTTGGAAAAACATTTGCTATGTGAAATGGGAGCAAGCGGACTGAGCTGACAAAGTAGGTCCTAAAGTTAGCTTCCCCCGCCTGTCCTCTGCTGCCCCCACATATCTCTTTACTTGCTTCTCTCTGCCCGTCTCAAAGTACTGCTGACACCAGCACCTCTTCAGCAGTGACCCTGGGTTGTCTCTGCGCTGCCTTCTAATATCAGATTAACTCGCTGCCAGTGTGACACTGCAATTAGGAAAAAATATGTCACGTTTTGAGGTTAGCAACCTACAAGACAGCCGCGTGTCATTCGATCTTCTCTCACATTAAGGGGCCTTAGATCATAACACAGCCAGTAACTATCAACAAGCAATACCTCCAACCACTAAGTACTTTAAGTAAGGACTTAAGTCTCACCTATGGTAACCATCAACAACCAGCTTTAACTGCTAAAGACTACACGACTCGAATTAAAAACTAAATTAATACATGATTAACAAATCAAAAATGTTATATTGAAAATATCACATTCAGGGAAATTTGCAGACTATTTAAAGTTTAGATAAGAAGGTATATACCACTGCAAAGACAGTCTGTAGGTATATTAAGCAAAAATTGTTTTATTTATATGTTAGCTTGCAAGCTGTTCACCAACACATGGAAGAGTCTGCTGGGACTTTTTCTGAGTTATGAATGTTTGTGAAGCTGGCAGATGTTTGCAGGCTATTGTCAAGAATGATCTCAGATGTGCTTGTTTGCCTACAATGTCTCTTTTATATTTCTGCATTATTTAAATGCTTATAGCTTTGGATTGGCTTGAAATGACTGCTGCCAAGACTTGGCTAACCATTTCTCTCTGCTACAAAGCTAAGCTTGAGATAGAGCTACCTTTGTATTGAATGAATACAAATTCTCAGCAAACTGGGCCCATGGGAAATTGTGAATAAATTGCATGGTGAGGCAGGATCCTCTCTTCCTATGCTGTTAACGACAGCCCCTTGTCCTGGGACTGTAATGCTGCTAAGCTATGGAGAAGGAGACATGACAACAGGAACACGCTGTACAGGACTGAGGAGGCGAGGAGCTCCCAGCACACAAACCAAATCACATATAAACACACAGACACACATGGGGAAGCTTGATGTACACAGGCGGGAGGCAGTCTGTCTGAAGCCTGTCTTTTTCTGCCAGGGATGCAGAGGAGAGGGAGGTGGGAAGAGGATACAGAGAGATGAGGATGGGGTAGGGGGGTTTAGAAAGCAGACGCAGAGTAACACCAATTAAGAACGACAGCCGCCGGAGAACCAAACAGGGAGCAGAGAGAAAGGCAGATACTGTGCTGGAGAGAGAAAGAATCCTCGATGAAGAGACAGTTGGGGGAGAAAAACCTGAACGAAGCAGTATCGAGGCTGGCAGACACGGAGCGACGGAGGGGTGGGGGGATGTTGGTGCTGAAATATCCATGCATCTTGATTGCTAGTATCTAGAGACCCAGGGAGAAAAATAAGGGGAGAGGGAAGGAAATTGCGCTAGGCTAAGAGAGGAGAATGAAAAGAGGGGAGTAAAAAGATGCTGCTTCACTTGTGTGAAGACTTAGCAAAGCAAAGGAGGAAAGACACAGAGAGAACTTAAAAGGGGAAAAGCTGTAAGGAAAACATATAGCTTCACATGTTCGGAATGGCTGTCAGGTCAACCAGGGACAACACCAATCACAAAGACGGAGGAAGAAAAAGCAAAGAGACTTTCCTCTCTAAGCAAGAGATGTAATAGGTTGTGGCCGCATAGTGTGGCAAATCCACCCCCCCACCACTATTACCATTCAGCCAGCCACCCATTCCTGTGGCATTAGAGAAGCCACAGGACTCCTGAGCCTTATTACATGGAACATTATCATGGACAGCCCTGGGGAATAATTCTTCAGTATCTGCTACAGACCTCAACTACTCCCCACAAACGTGTGTGGGTGTATTTGTGTTTACTCGACCTGAATGGCTCGGGGAAAACAAGCCTGTAAATTCCACAGTTGGGAAGCAGTTATAACAATGTTGTTGTCGGTGTGCATTTCCATGCCCTCTGTCACACACAACAGTCTCACTGACTGCTCTGTTTGTAAGCATACTGTGCATACCAGCATTGCTTTCAGCAGGTGGAGTGAGTGGCTTGTGAAAATATACAAGACACTTTATTGGTGCTGGACCGGACTTGCTCAATGAACTGTGGCAGAAATATTCTTGGTTGGCGGACTGGCTTGTGGCGAAAAGGTGGGTGGAGAGCGGCAATGAAAGAGGGGAATGCATGATGGAGAGAAAAAGTCAAAGATCAGATAGTGAGAAAGTCTGAGCTATGCTATAAATAAAAGCTTTGAGGTTTGCCTCCAGAAAATTAGCTCTCAGTGTCTTGGCTGCTTCCTCTCCCAAGTCGAAATGAAACTTTAACACAGTGGCAGCTCATTAAAAAGGAAAACAGCACAATGCACGAGACCAAGGAAGCCTGCTCCCTGCCAGTGCCACAGCTAAAGCTTATTGAATTAAAAAAACTGTCAAAGACACTGTGCTGGTATATGTTCTTTGCCGATGATGGCTTGTGTTGATGGGAATGTGTGGCTGTGCATGTTCAGCAAACGTCTGCATTTTTTGCATATTTGTTTTAATCTGTATGCTCAACTGCCATCTTAGAGGCTTTGGGGTGAATATTTGTCTTAAGGTAGTTATAGAGTGCTATTAGCATTAATATAATGACTGACCTCTCAGATTAACCTCATGAATAAGTTCCTTAAACTTTTTCACTCAATACCAAACCCAAGTACCTCACAATGCACACCGACAGCACTTGAACTTGAACATCAGTCAAACATAGCTTTGGCAACACGCTAATCTCTATTCAATTAAACAACATTCAGCCTATCATAAATTAGGCTGCAAACAAGATTTCTTATCAGTTACCTAGGCAGGGGACTCCTGCCACAATTTTTGCACCACTGCTTCATTGTAGATATGAGTGCAGCTATCTTTGCCTCTTTTTCCCTTTCTCTCTGGCACGCAAACACCTGTCCTTCATAGTCAGACTGAAAATTGGCACTGATGGGAGAAATACGACTGTGTTGGTGGACTGTCAAAAAGCCCATCGTGTTTTTACCATTCTTGGCAGGCAGACAAAACTTTTTTCTACCTGTCCTTTGGGGGGGCTTCACTGGGCAATGACAAAAATCCACCCTCATCTGAAACGCTAGTCAATAATTCCCTGTCCATCAACAGTGTAAGCAATAACAGAAAATAAGTACTGTGCTTGGTTGTGTGAACAAAGCCTACTCTGAGATAGGAGGACAGAGAGAAAGACAAATAAAAGCAAGTGCTGTTTGTGACAGTCCTCTTGATAAAGCCAAAAGAATGATCGGGAAGAAGTAGAAACATAACTGCACTACACTTCCAATAACTTAACATAAATCCTGAAAACATTACAGAAAGTTTCTTAGCTATTTCAGTATTGAAACAACAGCAAAGAAGATACAACATGATGTGTTGGGCTGCTAGCTTACTAGCTTGCTATTATTTAGTAGCTCAGACAATTATTATATATAGTTATACCAAACATTGAAAGTTTGTTTGTCCATAATTCAGTTTTTAGCCCAAGAAAATTGTGTTGATTATTTCTAAAGGCTATAATGTGTTTGATCAACTACTTTCAAATATACAGTAAAAATCAATATACACAGTAAAAGTAAATACTTGAAGCTCATTGAGTGTATTTAAGTTGACATTAATGTGATAAAACAGTGCAGACAGCAAACAAATGACCTGAGCTCACGAGCCCAACAAACTCTATTGACATCTTGGTCAGTGTCTTCTATGTGCGTGGCTCCTCTTTTTCATTAGGAGATATTTGTTCTTTTTTCATTTTTGTGTCTGTTGCGTTTGAGAACCGTCATCAACCCCCCCATCACTCACTCGCGTTGAATATAGCGTGGGATCTCCTGCTGTGTTCATACAACTTTTTCTGGATTTCTATGGACTTCATACAAGGAGGCCAGGCGATATAGTCAGCAGAAACTGTGTAGCATCTCACTCGGACATCTGCGTTCACACATGGACTTCCTTCGGAGGAAATACAGAGGAACTGCGGAGTTCAGTGCATGTCTGAAAGCAGCTATAATGAGTAAGGTTGTCTAAATGTTGGTTTGGAGCAGGAAAAGGGGAACATTGTAGGCTGGATGTCCTGCAGAATCTCTGTCAGCCTCCATGTGATGCCCCTCTCCTTCTCTCCACATCTCTCCAATTAGCCGACATGGAGCAGAGGGAGAGGAGGAGGCCCCCACCTACCCTCGGCACATTGAACATTCCCCTGGACCCCTGCCAAGACTCACAGGCAGCAGCTCGCCAGTCGCGGCTTCGCTTCCCCCATCCCCCTGCTTGCATCATGGCCTGGGTTACCCTTGGTGGGGCCCCTAAGCCCCTGCCCCCTTCATTGGCACAAAAATTGGACAAGAAGGGGGGGGGGGGGACCACCAAACCTCCCCAACGTCCATAGGATTCTTATGTTACAAACCTCCAATACCTCATTCACACAAAAGCCCTCTGTATGACATATTATAAAAAATTAACACAGGTTTAACCTATGTACACAAACTGCTGCTCAGAAGTAAACATCCGCTCTCTTTCAAACATTACTAAAACTATAGTTTAATTCCTCTAATATGCATACAATTACAATCTCAAAAGCAAAGGCAACCTACACTCTTGCGAACATGCAATCAGGAAGTGTCAAATTTGTGGCTGAGAGCACTAAAAGATAAGATAATGAGTATCATGACATGAGATAACGGTCTTATAGCAAAGCAGATCAGTGTCAGACCTGAGCTGAACCACCTCGAATTAAAAAAAAAAAGGAGAGCCAGTGGCAGCACAGGTTTTTTCCTGAGGCATTACTTCACAGGAAAACAACAGATGCAAACCATCTAGTACACAAACATTGACATACAAAAAAAAACAACATTAAAAATTAAACCTGTTAATATTTCATTAATGTTGGACACTAATAAATGTCATCGTGGCTATCTATCATTACTATTGATATGTCACAGTCAACAGTCACCCTGTACCCTGTCCCAGGTTAGCACACATACTGTACATAAACACAGTAAAATGGCCACACCAAACACAATTGGCAAGCGTACATCCTGCACACAATCACATCCACACCTCAAAATAGCCAACCATAGAGTAGAGCAAGAGGGTAATGGCTTTTAGCAGCATCCCGTTGAATCAAGCTGATTCTACTGTCACAGCTAGAGCCCCCTTCCCTTACTGGAGCAGCACCCTGTGGTGGTGTTAAGTGCGTTATCTATCAGGGCTGTGCCAGTTGTTAGAAAAGCCTCATAATCACAGGCTCAGTAACTACCACGGTCAGGCCTGGGCTAAGGTCAATGACAGGGGAAAACGGATAGACAACACAAGCCACTTTTCCAAAGTGGGATTTACCAGGGTCAACTGAAAATGTCAACTTTGTGTATTTGAAACTGCAAACTACTGTACATAAACAACAATTAGGAAGCAGAAGAAAGTGTATGTGGGGGTAACAGTGGGCATAGGTCAAGCAGGCTCATTCCAGTTACATTTGGAAACCAGGCTGGTGATAGCAACCTGACAACTGGGCTAGTGTTCCAAGTTCTGTCTTTAAAGGGTCAGACAAGGGGAAGCACACCTTGGGTTTCCTTTTAAACAAATGATCCTGCCCCTTCAGTGATAAGGGGCTGCAGATACAGTTACTGCCAGGGTTTGTCCTCATGGCTTTGTTACATTACACTCTAATCAAAACAGTGTCTGGATGCCAACAGCCTAGAGCCTGGTTGGATCCCCAGCCAACATGGGTTAAGGGTTTCCTGCAAGCACGTTGCCAAGATGACAAAAGTAGTAATATAATTCACTGAGGCTAGGCCCCGGTGAAAGAATGGATTTCTCATTTTGGGTCCTTTTGCAATGGGAAGAACCAATTATGTGCCTCAAAATGGAGTTTAATATTTTCTATGTCTAGATGCAGGCATAGATTGATGGACTGTCCATGTTCTCCATAGAGTATCAGGGCCATTCATGTTCCAGAAGATCATTTATGAAATCTGTTAGAACCATAAATAACTAAGTTGAGCTTTGCAGCCTAAATATTTCCAAATGGCTCAAACGGAAAAGCACAGCTTAAATCTTCAGTGCAATACAACACGTCTTGTCTCAGGGGTAACCTTTGTTGACCTAGTGTCGATATACACCTCAAATATACCCCATTGCCCCACAGATGACAGCCACCTGCTGTAGCAATGGTACTGAAGCATTTGTGTCTGGAAGGGTTAAGCTAAACAATTTCAGAAAACTAGCAGACTCCTTCCTCCTCTTAACAAGCTTTAAGATCTTTCTTTTTACATACACACCAGAGGACCAACACTGCAACATCTTTTCACAGCCACCCGCTTATTGCGTGCTTGCCAGCCTTTTGGAAAGATGAGCGTGTGTATAGAAGGGAGCACCCTTGATCCTGGATAGGAACAGGGCAGTGTGTGTCTATGAGTCAGCTGGGTGTCTAGGGCATGCAGCTCACAACCTGATTAACAACTGCAGGACATTAACAAACTGCAAGAGCTTGACATAAATGGCCATACACTCGCACAGCCTTACACGAGTGTCATCACTGGCTGGATCAGACACAAATATTTGCAGCCACGCACTTACATTCCAAGACATGGATGCAAATTTGTACGAAACCATACACCCAAATAAATGAATGTATGCGTACCACTGCTCGTGCATATTTTTCATTTCATCACCTCACTGGTGTGTGACGATGGAGATAAGACAGCGATGACAGAGATGTCGCGGGGGGGGGGGGGGGGGGGGTTGAAATTGAACAGGAAATTATGTACTTCAATTAAGACATGCGGAGGAGATATTAAAAGCTATACTCCAGTGCCTGGGGGCCAGGATGCAGGAAGGGGGGAAGCAATGGAAAGCGACAGTTAAATCAGAATCCCTGGCTTTCGCACAGAGCCGGGGGGGGAGAGACAGGACAGCTATGTTTAATAATGTAATTGGACTTAGTGTAGTGAAATGTACGCTGGTGTGCAAGATACATGATGTGATACAGCTACGGAATGAACCAAAGAGGAAAGACAGGAGTGACAATCGGGATAAAATCTAAGAAGGTGCCTGTGTCGCACTGAAAAAAGCAACATCTACATTATGCAGACAAAAAACGAAAATATTTAACAAAAGTCCTGCTGTCAACATACAGTTCCACTCTGTCAGCAACCATGCAATCAAAAAACAAATCTTGTAAAATAATTAAGCACATCCTCACCTTCTAAAAAGTGCACAGACTTTCAAAATAGAGAGGCAGTGTTTGCAGCCAGGTCAAGAAATAATCACATTACACGCTCACATGTACAGAGTGTGTTCCAGTCCACTCAGCCAATCGTGAAAGAGCGATGATATAACACTAGTTAAGTTCCCAACATTTTCCCATCAAGCCCCCTCACATAAACATGGGGGTAAAAGGGAAAATACCTCTCATCAGTCAGTTCATGTGGGGGTTTACTAATTAATCCAACATCACATAAAACACTAAGAAAAAAGCCTTTAGGTCTTTGGTTGCACAGTAAGAAGGCAGCCAGAAGCATGTTTTAATTCTGGGGATGTGAGTAATGTGAATAAATCACAACATCGCTGCAACACAAATAGGCTTAAATAATTGTTAGTCAATGTTTTAATTATGTGGCACTTGGACTTGAATGCTGTAGAGCTAAATTAAGATGCATCACAGGGGCAGAAAATAGTGAAGCTATATAATCTATTAGTTGAATGTGCATTGTGAATTTTTGCTGCCTCGATTTTAATCTCCAATACCACCGATCAGCAATCACACTCATGTATTATATACCACAGGATGAGGAAAAAAAGAGCCATTCATTAAAAAACTTACCTCGCGTTAACCACAGCTTTGGCAGCTTTCGGTGAGGAGTCGATGCATGGCAGAAAAACAGACGCAGAAAAGCATCCTCCGATGTCTTTTCTGAAGTTACCCGTAAAAAAGAGATGGTGCAGAGATTCAGTCGCGATTTTTTTTTAAGTCAAGACTTTGCAGGTATAAGCCGACTGGTGACAAGAGACCGAGGTAAACAGCGGCTACTGAGCCAGATATAACGTTACACACAGCGGGCACGGTGATGTATATGCTTTGAGCAAGAAAAAAAATTGAAAATACGCAGAGACATTACACTCGCAAGAAATCTGTAAAACGTCACGATATAAAGGGGGCGGGGAGGGGACACGGAGCACCACTAACAACAAACAAAAAACAAACCAACACGGATAAAATGACTTTTAAAAGCAGCTAATTTAAGCTAACGTTAGCTGGTTGACGCTGAGAGTCGTCGGCCGTCGCCAGGTTCTTGCAAACCGGAGAATTCAGGCGTTTTTCGGTATGAATTAAAAAAAAAACACCGATGAGTTCTCGCGTATTGGAGCGAGCCGCCGTCAGCTAACTTGTTTTAAAGTGCAAAAAAGAAATGTTTTTTTTGTTTGTTTATGTCGCCAGCCGGACGAGTAGCGACGCGCTGGCTACCGCGGGTGCGAAGTGAAAAGCGACTCCGGGGAAATACATTCTGTGTGGATCCGGACAGCGGAGCGGACAGTCATGGTAGGCGTATTCACTGAGCTCTCGTTGACAGCGGTCTCGCAGCCATTTTGTTCAAACTAACAACACCGCAGTCTCCCTCTCCTCCTCCCAGACAGCGGGCGGACCAGGAAGTGGCTCCGGATACGTCACTCCCGACCAACCACGGGCGCCCGGACGCTGGCTCCGCCCGCGGCGCCCCGGCCCCGCCCCCTCTCCCCCTCCCCCCGCGGACACACACAGGCTGGACCCGGGCCGGAGCAGCTCGTGTGTCCGCGGTCATCGCTGAAACACGCAGCGAAGACTGCGAGCTTAAAAAAGATACGAATGTCACTCTGTGCCTGATTTGACGAGGGTGATGTTGTCAAGACTGGATGCAAGTATATCTCCTGCAAAATTAGATTCTCATCTTGTAAAAGCAACAAGGATGGCAGGCATTTTGATTCATTTAACACTACGTACAACGTGGTCCGTATTTATTTTCTATTAAAGGATCAGTGTGTAGAATTTAATGACATCTAGTGGTGAAGCTGCATGTTGCAGCCGGATACCCTTTACCCTCCTCTTCGAAACATGAGAGAGAACCTGTGGTAACCTTCAGTTGTCATAAAAACTCGTGCGTAGTTTGTCTAGCTTGGACTACTGTATAAAAAAAACATGGCGGCCTCCATAGACAGGGCCCACTCATGATTTATATATAAAGTATTTAAATATAAAGGGCTCATTCTAGGGTAAGGAAAACAATCACTAAGATTATTATATATTCAATTTCTGTCCATAGATCACTTTCACCTAAATCTTACACACAGAACCTTTAAGTACTACAGATGTTATGTAATTGAGGAATTGTCACACTGTTGAATTCAAACTCCAAACAAATAGAAGGCAAACTGGACCAATCCTGGTGGCCCGCCGCACCTTAAGGTTTCTATCATTACTCTGAGTACCTGTAATTTGGGGTGTGCGCCACGACAGTGTGTTGCATGCTAGCAATGACTTGATAAAAAAAGATGGTTATTTTTGTAGGTAACAACATTTAGAATATAAGACAAGATGGTGAATATCCCTTGTACGTTTGAAGGTCTTCTGCACAATTTAAGTTACCGACTACCAGTAGATGTTAGCAGGTGTTAGCAGCCACCAGCGGATGTTAGGGACATAACTTCAGTTGTTCACTTTAGCATCATCAAGTGTTTTGGCCTTATAATCAACGATACAGACCAAACCTTAGGGTATGTTGAGGATAAAGGTAAATCTGACTAGCTACTTGCTTATATGGCAGAACTATGAAAGCCATGTGGATAAGACGTCATTACATAAATGCTCGGGATCAGCATATGCTACCTGCGTAGAACTAACTGGCAGACAGACAATGATATTAGCTAACTGGAAAACACATTGGAGCATGTAACAGCCCAAGAGACAACTATTTCTCTTGAGATTAAGTGGAAACCAAAATGGAGCAATAAGAGTTACATGTGTTGAGTGGTCATGAACAGGACTCTAAAATTAACTGAAGGTTCTTCCATGTTGTGCTTGTTATGTTAATGAGCAACTTTCTCACAATATCAACTTACTAAGGAGATGATATGTCAGCATTTTATGGCTACATGTTCTGCCTCCTAGTGGCCAAGAAAGTTATTAACAAAAAAAGAAAGAAAAGAAAATGTAATATGAATACTCAAGTTGAGTTCATGTACTCCAAATTGTACTCAAATAAATGTACTTAGTTATTTTTCATTAGTACCTCTCAATCATATTGTTACATAATAGTATTAGTAGAAATATAAGACCATACTTCATGTGACTCATGATGAAAATAGTGCAAAAGAGTACAAAAATAGAGAAGCCTCATAAAAGTCTGCAGTTTGGAACGTGCATCATGAACTTTATTTAGCAGACTCAAATGCCTCTTAAAGGGCTCACCCCAAGTTTCTTTACCCAAGATGACCTTTGTCAAGAATCTCTCTCTCACATGATGTCCAGAAACATGGGGCGATAATTCCAGGCTATTCTCAACATGATGGATGAGGTCGCCCTTGTGCCCTGAACCGCATCTGCAGCCGCTTCAGAAAAAGAAACTGCGGCCCCTGTCCATTCTCTACACTCCCTTTCTCATGGAAATGACCGCTCCATGCACAGACAAACACACACACAGACACACTCACACTGCGCGGTGGGAACAGGTCAAGGCTGCGGTCCACAAAGGGGAAGACTGACCAGTGAGAACTCTTTCAGGAAAGCTCTGGGCTCCTATACGTTACTGGGAGAGAATGCTAATGAGAAAGACAGGGGCCCCGGCCAAATGTTTTTTTTCCCTCCTTTTCAAGGCAAGATGCCCAGAGCTATTAAAATGGCAAGCTCCGTCTGAATGGAGAAAGCAGATGTTCCATACTTGGGGTTAAGAGAGGTGAGAGCAGAGGGGAACGGCTTCAGAAAAAGGGAAATGTTGTTTGCTGTGGATCACATACAATTTAACTGTATGCAGGAATTTGCTGCTCATTCATATCAAATTCTAAATAGCTTGTGTTACAAAACATTTTTTTCTCAGAGTTAGTTAAATGTGCTTACATGAAGCATCAATTCACAGAGTTAATACATCATGCAGATTTAAGTACACATTTTAAGTACAAGTATCACATGTACTGTAGGCTAAATCTACACTTGCAGGAATTGTCAGTGATGGAAATCTATGCAACACAAATTGGAATTTAGAAATAACAATAGCGGTTTGACATGATATTAGCCATCAGTGGTTCATACTACTTAGGGTGAGTGTCTGTGTGTCTTCCTTGTTCATATCCGCTCTCCAACTCATCACAGCTTTTCTTTTAGGTGTCTCTGTTTCTTTGACTCCACCAATTTCCCTAATTGCTTTCACATTTAAGCAGACTGCTAACAGAAGCGAGCCAATGGGAAAGGTCTGCCTGACAGTCTGATAAGAACCGGCCCAGACACAAGCCGAAGGACTGCAGCAGAGGCAATCGCTCATTCCTTCCCTTCTCAGACAAAACACTTCTCCTCCTGCTGCTGCTGCTGCTGCTCTCTCCATTCTCTTATTCTCCTCTCTCTATTTTTTTTCCAGCATGCTCTTCTGCCTTTTGTTTTAATTCCAGTCCAATCATGAGATGTGTTCCGCATAAGGTTTTAATTTCAAGCCTGCCACTGGAGTCTGTCACACTCACATATATGCACAAATTCACACAGGAGTACATGTGCATACACCAAACCACAGATTCTTATACATATCGCACGCACACAAATGCACGCACGCAGACATACATACATACACACACACACACACACTAATGTGTTTCGTGTCTACATGCATATTTAATGCTAGTGCTCTGTGGCTACATTTTATCATTTAAACTCATTTCCCATGAGGGACAGTATCTCCATCTAGAAACATTAAGAATCACACACATTCATAAAAGGCATAGATATCACCAGACAAATTGTATGAAAAGAATCCCAACAGACTATATTTCTTGCTTTGAAAGTCACAATATATTTCATATAGCTTATGACAGACCAGCAGAATTTATAGAATCATCAAAACCATTTTTCATTCAAACATCTTTTTTTTTTGCCTTTCTCTTAAATACGAAGCCCTCTCCAACTGTACCATCTTGATATTTAATATTGTGGAATTAACCAAACAAACATGATCTGAGGGTTTGCCACATCTTTCACTGGAGCGGAGAACAAAAGCAGATATTGGTATTGAAACGTCATTCTCGAGACACTGCAATCTAAAAGAAGACATTCGTAGTTTTGCCGTGTGATGCGGAATGACTGATGAGTTATTGGTGGTGTCAGTATTATGGTGTTGATTATGAATACACAATCTTCCACACCAGTCTGGACTTTATGCATGTGAGTAATCAAAATGCAGACGGCGAGGTGCTGCTTCGCTCAAAGTGACATTTCCAAAGGCATGACTTGACATATGCAAAAGGACCGTCATGATGATAATTCTAACAGCGGAAGAAGCCAAATGAAACCATCTCCTAACCGTACATAAAAGAAAAGTGTTGCGCAGCGAGCTCCCCAGTCCTGCTGCTTTGGGGTAAAATTTGCAAGTGGTAGCTGTGCAGTTGAGCTGAAACATTCATAGCAAGTTTTTCCTCACTCTGATTACCAATGTGATTGAAGTGCCTATCCACTGAATAACAGTGTTGAGTGGTAAAGCTCCTCTGAGTCACTCATTGCTCATCTCCATGGTCTGCAGCATTGCAATGAATGATAAGTCAAACTGCGAGTATAGCTCAAGGAACAGAAGGCATGATAGTCCATAGGAGGGCTATCATTAACTTTACATTAACTTTAATTAAGACTAAATAATGAATTACCCTCAGCGGAAGATAGGTAAACATGTACAGTACATAAACACACCCTTGCACTAAAGCACACATGCAAACATACATACAAACAGGCAGTTACTGTTATGGTCCATAAAAATAGAGATACACGATAAGACTATTCCTGCACAAATATGCAGTGCAGACCATGGCAACAAAATGTATTTGATCCTCTCATACTGCTGTGTGTCTGTATGCTATATAATATATTATGGGGGAAGCACAATAGCCAGAGGAAACTGTGTATGAAGCTGCTGGGAAAGGAGCAATACAATGAGTGGGGAAGGGGTCATAGTGGTCTCGTAGTGTTTTTGTGTGCAAGGGTGCGTTTGCATGCTCGTGTGTGAGAGTGCATGTCCACAGTATATGTGTGTATTTGTGCATGTCCATATGTGTGTGCTGTTTGGGTGGAGGGAGGCAGAGCAGAACGGAGCATTGCAGTGCAGTAGGACAGTGTTTCTGAGCTCTGGTAATTTCCCCTGAGACAACCGAGCAGGTAAAGGCCAGCGAGAAAGGGAGGGAGGCAGAGATGGATTAAAGAAGGCTGGGAGGGAGGGAGGGAGGGAGGGAGAGAGAGAGAGGCAGCAAGCAAGTGTGTCAGTGAATAATGGCAAATGATACAGCAGTGGCGGAAAAGAGGCCGGCAGATTCGCCCAATCAAATGTGTGCACGCCGCATTAGCAGCTTCTCTGGCTTCAATGTAGCAACCCG